CCGAGCGTTCCGTCTTTGAGGCGCCGGTCCATTCTACCTCGAGGCGGTTTATCTTTCCGTTTATACCGGGAAATGTTCCCGCGGGAAGCTCCCGGGAGGAAGGTGGAAATTTTCTCGGTAAGCCTGAAAGCGTCGCGGAAGTTCGCTTTTATCGCTAACTCGCCATGGTCGAGGGGAACGCGGAACTTCGGGCCGCTCTCTGGGCTTCGGAAGGGTTTTCTTATTCGAAGGTGGCGGCGGAAAAGGACGCGGAGGAATGCGTAAGTTGGAAAAAGATGCGGAAGTCGGTGAAAAGACCGGCTCGAAGGAGCGACACGCGAGCCGTGGCCGGGGCCGTAACTTTACTACGCGAACTTCTAATTAGCCGCATAACTAACAGGAAAGCTCGCCATCTGTTTCGCCGTTCCGCCGTTCCCATTATCGTTTCGTGTTTCCGCGTTCGAGGCGCGCTTCCGGTGGTTCGAACCGCCGAAGAAGCGAGTCGAGAGCGCCAAGACCGCTCGCAAAGTTTGCCCTCAAATTAGCGATCGATCCGCCCCAGATGCATGCCGATCCGCGTATTCGAAAGCAATTTCCATCCGATCTACGAGTCGTATTTTCGGATCCGCGCCGGAAACAAAGGATCGAAGTTCGCGATGGACTACTCCGTCCATCGCGACTTTCCGCAAAATCAAGCCCGCCTTCCACGAGGAGAAGTCGGGGTTTGTGTGAGATTTAACTCACCCCTTCTCAATAGGTGTTATTCCTCGGTATTTCCTGGCCGCGTGTCCAGGCATCCACCTGCGAGTAAACCCTTCGGTTTATTGGCTCTGGACTCTCGTAAAATCGCCAATTTTGATCCGCCTTACCGGCCAAGTAAGAACTTTATGAATATTGGAATATCAGACGGCTGGAGCCGAGTCTCCCGCCGGTTGCGCCGAGTATATACGTCTACTCGCGTGGCCTCTATTTCCTATTTACTCCTCCCGCTTTTTGATGGAAATAAACGCCTGGATTTATTTCCATTCGCGATCATTTAGAAATACGCGCCTCTCGGATCCGCTATCGCGAAGTAGCCCGAATTTTACGAAATCGCGCTTCAATTGAAGTTCCGGGTTTGGTCTCCTGTACTCGTCGACGGGAATTTTTGACAAGCTCGCGGAGATTCGCGGATCGACAAATGAAGTGGCAATAAAAGAGAAAAAATATCGACACGCGTCACTTGGACCTGGCGTATGCGGCTCGTAACGAGAGTGCTCGTCGAATTCGTTGCAACGTCCCGTTGCACGCGATGGGATTCCCTTACACCGGGTAAAGGTTATCGCGTGAAACGATTAATTAGCAAACGATCGCATCGCAACACACGGGAAAGCATCGCGGGCTCGGTCGATCGATTCGTCCGTTATTGGCGTGAGTTATGGGCGAAGCAAGTTGAGAGGCTAAAGGCGGCCGCTATCCTTCGCCTATTTATTATTAATTAACGTATCGGTGAAGCGTGAATTATTGCCTTCCGGTTTACAGCGAGGAAGAAGCCCGCTGTCCATTTCGACGGAATAAACTGCCCCGAGAATGGATCGGTGGATATTAATTTTACATCCTCCACCGAAATGGCCACTATCGACGTTTGCGACCTGCCTGGCAGGGATTAATAATTTTTATTAACGTCGGCGGTGTCCTGCCTCGTGACAACAGACGGTACAAGGGTCTTGGAATAAATGTAATTCCTATTCGACTTCCGATTTTGTCGTTCGTATTAAAATGAGCTTCCTCGGTCTCGAGGGAGGTCGGGGCGCGCTGAATGGAAGGTTGATAGGAGGGTGGTGAATAAATCAGGAAAGCCCTGAAGGGTTTGGCCCGAATGACGGAAGGATTTTCGATGAAGCGTGAATTATTGTATTCCGGATTTACGCTAGAGAAGATATCCACCGTCCGTTTTCGAAGCACACAGCCTGGGGAATAAAGCAGATATTAATTTTCGGCAAGGACTTCCCTCCTCCCAGAATCGGTATCTCAGTTTCGGGGGTGGCTTAGAAACGGGCAATGAATAAATTGCGAGCGTCCCGCAGGGGTTGACGGTAAGAGGAGGATTTTCGAGGTCGGATTTTCGAAAATCGTGGGAATTTCTCGAGATAACTCGGCCGCGAAGGCGCCTCCCATGAAACATTGTAAACCCATTCGGTTTTCGATCGCGTTCGCATTAAAACGACCGCCCTGAGCCTCAAGGGAGGTTCGAGGGCGGTGAATAGGGGGTCGGGAAGAGGGTGGTGAATAAATTGTGAAGACCCTGAAGGGGTTGGCTCGGAAGACGAAGGACCGGAGGCTGGAGACGTTCGATACGCTCTGGGATATCACTCGACCGCCATCGTTCCGTGCGGAATTCTCGAAATTCTAAAAGACGTACAAACGGAAGATAGGCATATTCTCTTGCATCCGGATGCAAGACCAGCTTCCATCTGAAACGCGTCCAATGATAAGATAGCCAGCCGTCGAAATAATTCTCTCCATGTCCCTCTGCCCAAACCTCCCTAACTTCCTTACCCGAGAATCCACTTTTTTCCCGTTTCAGGAAGAATCTTTAATATTCATAATATTAATACTAACTAATCATAACTATATGGGAAGCTAAACGAGGTCGTGAATTTCCGAGATCTCTGCCCTGAGTCTCTAGTGAATTTGCGGAGACCGAGATGACTGACCCTAGCCCGACTGCATCCACTTCGACTGACCCTCCTCCGACTTCCTCCACTTCGGTTCCCCCGACTATGGCTGACCCTACTGTGGCAGTACTACTTGCGGCGCGCCGACCTCTCGCAAATTGGGAGACTCGACGTCAGACTTTATGAAGATCAGCCCCTCGTAGCTCGGGTTATTAACGGCGAAAATATTAATCGATAGCGCCGTATCTTTCGGACTCATGAATCGAGCCCCTTTTTCAGGGAAGGCCGAGCCACTTTATTATTCGGTCGCAAAGTTCCGCGACGGTTTCCTCGCAGGGCTTTGTGCTGGAAGCTTTGTGCCGCGACTGAAAGACGAGGACCGGTCGAGGGAGAATCCACGGATCCGCACATCCGTTTACTTTTCGCATCCGCGCGTTGGCTCGTCCCGAACGTTCCTAGAGATATTATATTCCGGGAACATTTGAGGGAAAGGCAGGAAAAGATCCCTCTTTTGTTCGGCCTCGTCGTTGTCATTGCCTTGCCCTCCCATTGTCGTCTCGGTGCTCCTGCCATCCGACTAGACGACGCGACGCGCCGACGAGGGTCAAGAGACTCGATAGAGTCTCGCGCCAAGCGCATATATCTCCACTTTCCTTTCAAAAGCGCCCCTTAGGATCGGCATACGAGGCAATCGCCTCGAATAATATTTTTCGGACGGGTAATTGGGGCACAAATTCGGGATCTAATAGAAATTTAGGACGTAGGAAATGCCAATCGAATCCCTCCCTGCTTCGAGCAAAGGGCTACTCCCTTTCCTCGGGAAGGGTCCGGGAAAACCGTGAGAGCAGCTTGAACGGGAAAATTGCACCGTAACGCGCAATATCCTCGTGCTCGCGTAAGCGGCACGCGTGGCTCTCTCGTAAACCGTAAACCATAACATATAAAACATATAGCATAAAACATATTCCACGTTCCTTCCGCGACACGCGCTGCGCATCGGTCGCGGTATGCACAGAATGAAAATGATAACGTGGTCCTCTCCCACCGCAGCTTCCCGCTCTCCGTTGGGTGTCCGTGCACGTACGCGGGCTTGCAGGTGGTTGCAACGATGCTCCACCTTATATGCCAGGGTGGAAATCCACATGGAACGTACCCGCGGCTCACGTCGTCGGCCTCGCTCTCGGGCGGGTTCGAACGGATTTCAAGATTTGTCTCGCGTTCCACGGTGCGTCATTTTCAGATTAGGTTCTTGGGAAAGGGCAAAAAAAAAGAATTCTCTCCTAGAAAAGGGCGGCTTTCGATGTTAACCGTACAGTTTTGCAAGTGGCGTGGAGGAGAAATTTCGCCGGGAAATCTCGGAAAGGAAGTCCGGGGTCTGAATCGCCGCGATTGGGGGCGAAGGCTGTCGAAAGAAATACGATATCTGCTGGCAAAGCGGGGCGAAAGGGGGCGAGACGGAGAGCTTTCGAGGGATGAACGTTGCCGCAAGCAAGGCACGAAACTTCGGTGAACTAGGCGAAAGGTGAAATCCAGTCGAACAACCGTCCGAGTCGAGAGGGAAATGCTCCGAAAATTGAACGTCAAAGCACGAGCCAGACTGCAGCCAATCGAAGTCGGCCTCTACGAACAGCCAAAGACTGGTTTAATCCGCGGATTGAATTATAGGAGAATGCCCGTTTAATACTTCAGAGCGACGACAATCTCAGAGCCTTCGGGGTCGCGATTTCCGATAATCAAAAACTCGATACCTCGGAACCTGGGTATAAATCATGCAGTTCTGGTCGCTGCAATTGCATCTATTCGCGGCGCGAGCCTGTTAAAAATTCACCCACGAAAATTGGTCCCATTGGTTGCGGGTAGAATTTAACACTCTCCCGCAAACCACGAGTCCGCGAAAGAATCACTTCCTTAATGAAAACGCATTAGCGCCTGAATATTTGAAAAAGAAAAATATATATTTCGGTCTAGCGAGAGACGAGGGGAGTATTTTGAAAGGGTTGGCGCGATCGAGCCGTCCCAGTCGGGTCGACGACCCGTTTCGGATGGAAATACATTCATCGGTCCAATTTTGCCACATATCGACGGAGTGTTTTATCGAGCCTCGTCGAAGCATCGAGGATTAAAGACGATCCCACGTGTCTCTCTCGATGCGAGCGCGTCACGGAGGTGATGCATTTCGCAGGAGCTGCATCATTGATCTCCGGTAGGCCGACCTCGATTCTCCGATTAGGTGAGCCCGCGAGATCGCCGATCCAGCATGGAAGTGCTCGACTTTCCTCGGAAGATCGCGAATAAATGATAGCGGCTCTTGGGCATTCATCGATGTGCATTTCCTGACCCAGTTTCTTTCCTTTCACGTTGCAGGACGACACTCGAGCCCCGAAAGCCGGCGACAAGAAGCGGTGGATTTACGACCCTAAAAGTGAGTATCCTCGGGGATCCATATTCACCGAGCAATTTTCCAAGCTCGACGACGATTCACCCGGGCCCAAGATCGGGGAATTAATTCGAAGCGTTTCCACTCTCTCGGCCGCGGAAATTCCCCGACTTACATTCTTACACGGAGGGCGTAAATCGGAGGAAACGCGTCGGTCTCCCCGCGAAGGAGAGACATCCAACGGCAATCTCGCCGAGAAAAGCCTTAACGAGCACTTTTCTCGGTGTAAGGGGGTGCGGCGAGTCCCGTCGAGGATTTGAAAAGCGAGCGAAATCGTCCTGAGCCTATACCGTAATCCCCTAATGTCGTAACGCCATAATGCCATAATACGCCGTAAAATACGGCTCCGTGCTCCCGTCGTATCGGTCGAGCCGAGAGCTCGAGGTATCGAGTCCCGGTAAGTGAAAAATCACCGCCCACGCCGCCATTCATAAAACATCCGTCAGGGTGCCGATGGAAAAGAAAGGAGCAGGGAAATCTAATGCATCGCCGGTTCTATACGGGAAACTCTTCGGAAAAGTGCACCGTGGACGTGCCACGGGGGTTTTCATCTCTCAGAAGCATCGGAGAGAGGTCGGGTCCTCGTCTGGCCTGAAAACCGGCCTCGTAAGCTTTTGCCTGGCAAAATCGGTTTTCAATAAGCCCGGCAGCTCGTCTTAAGAACCCGTGATTTATGGGAAACTCGCGGATCGATAGCCGTTACCTATCGATACCTATCCATAGCCTATCGGCGATCCATCGGCGCCTCCACCGAAATTATCGCTCGTCCGACAGACCTTGAATCGCGCTTCCTGCTCCAGGAAATAATTAGATCGGTGGACTAGACGTCGTTAGCGCGGCATATTCGTACCGGATCGGAAATCGATATCGAGGGATGGATCTTTCGCTAACGAGCGGGCTAATCGATGCATTCGATCGGCCGTGTCGATAAGACCCAATCGGTGGGGAATTTTCCTGCAGGCTGGGAATCGCTTCCTCGAGATAAAAATTCTCACTGACTTTCTGGAAGTGGCCGTGGAGTGAGCCGTCTCTCTTAATTCGGCTAATTTGTATTCGATCGGTATCGGAAGGTACATATACCCTCGGGCGGACGGCGCGCGTTTAGCCGCGGAACACGTGGTTGCACACAGATTATCCTCGCTTATATACGTATATATCCGGATATATACCCGCTTCTCGGATATATCTCTCCGCAGCGGAGACGGGAATTTCCCGGAGTGCAAATTTCATTTTAAGCTTCCGCTGGAAGATCGCGCCCCGGCGGTTTCCGGGAATTCGGGTCGAATTAAAAATGCATATTCGACGCCTCGAGCGCATCTCCCGAGGCTCCTGGGCACCCAGCTCCCAGGGGATGATCCATGATAAGGTCGGGAGAGGATCGAGATGTGGATCGGCGGGACGGGGTATTAAATACGTGACCAGACTTCGCGTTTCCCGAGGCTGCCCATCTGCATCCGAAGTGATGCCTCCTAGCATCGGAGATCGGTCATCTGCAACCTCTGGCGGCGCTCCTTTAATTTGTGCGTTTCCGACATCTTCGATTTATTTTTTATTTTTTGTTTAGCCTCTGTATATTTTATGTAAAGACCGATAGAACGCGGAATAATCGTTTCCTTCGCTGTCGCGAGTTTTACTATACAGAGAGGAAGGCAAAGCGCGATGGCGCGTTCCTCCGCGGACAACGGGGCTTCGCAGTTTCGCAGAGGGGAAAGAAAGGGGACGGAGAAGTGCCGAGCGTGGAATCGATAATCGAGCGACTCTAGAGTTCGATATCGAGCAGACTCACGGAAGACCGCCTGATTCGATTCGTCCGTTTAATCTCTGGAGTCCCCTCGTACCGCTCCATTTCCAACTCCGCCTTTGCCGCCCTGGGTGGCTCTCTCTCTCCGTCTCGCTCCCTCGCGTTATTGGCCGAGCTGCGACAGACGAAGACAAGGAATCGATTCTTCGATATAGTAATCAGCAATCTTGCGCAGCTGCTTTATTACTCCGCGGAACCGTGAAATTAACTTCCCCGGCCTGGCTTTTCACTCCTTTCGCTCGTCCGCTTTCGATTGCGACCGCAAACGAGTACGACCAACCCTCGTAACGATTCCAGGGCAAATCGCAACGGTGATTTTCTTTTTCAGGGATTTCTTCCCTTGATCATTTATCCCATCGATCGAGGCCGATAACGCGGGGGGAGGTCGATGGGAATGGGGAAATCGGTATCGAGGGTTCGCACTCAAGTGCGGATTTATTCTGCGCGCGAGAGCACGTTGTGGCTCGCTGACCGAAAAAAGAGCGACTAATACCGACATCACGGATTGATGGGTACTTGCTCCACTTTTTACCGGCTGAAAGCCTGCATGGCGGCGAAATTCCATCTCGAATAATAAATTCGGTCAACGGGGTAAATCGGCTCGTTTCCCGGGATGGAGTCGCGCCCGTTTCTGCGGCAATTTCCGGAAGATCGATATCAAAAGTAGAGCCAAGGTATTCGAGTTCACGGGGTCTCAGGTACGAGTATAAGTTGCGGCCATCCTTGGCCTAAACTTCGCGAGACACGCGAAGGACTTTCTTTCCCTCCCCGATGTCAAACTTAGCGGGCCGGGGAAAGGATCGATATCCTTTTCCCGGTCGCGATATTCCTGCATTCGTATTAATTGTGGATGGAAATAATGACAGAGGTGTAAAAATATATTCGACGCCTTTCAGACAAGCTCTGTCGGTCTCTGACCTGCGAGAAGAAGGAGATATGCCTGATGGAGGACTCCGTCACGGCGGTCTGCGTGTCCACGAAGAAGCTCCTGAAGTACGGGTAAGACCTCCATTTCCCACGCATTTGCGTTTTCCGCGAGGAAGGCGTCGAGACCCGAAAATGGTTAAACGCGTCGACTTCGAGCCAAACCAAATTTCGCTCCTGAAGGAGAGCAGCGGCCGAGCGATTTCCGTTTTTCTTTTCGAAGTGGCCGGCAGCCAGTTGCCGGCAAACCGACCAGCTTTTCCGAAAATTCATCGAGGAAACTGAAAAGAAAAATCCGCTTCGCGAGACCGCCGATTGCGTTTCATCGCTCGTCGGTTCCGGGGCGAAACTAATCGCGGCCCTCCTCTCCGTTTTTTTCTCTCCTTTTTTTTTTGTTTTATTTCCACGCAACATTTCCATACACCTCGCGGCCGGCAGAGTAAAAAAACGTATTTTAATAGAAAAGCGGAGCGCGGGTGCGTCTGCATTTTTTTCACCGTATGAATTTTCGAGGGCCCGGCTTTGCATATGCAGCCGGGCTTTGCTCGGCTCCGGTCTTTTTGCCTCGCCCCTAGCGCTAGCCTGCGTTCAACTCGATTCGAAGTTTCCGTGATTTTCCGAAAATCGTCACCGCTTTTCCCGGTTATCCAGTCCCGGCGGTACCGAGGTGCTGAAAATCCCGTGATAAGATCGCCATTAGCTCCCGAAACCGGGATAAAAAATTTCCGCCTCGTCCGCCCCCTTTTCTTCGAGACCCTGAGTAACCTCTGACCCGAGGACGGTGATTTCTGGGATCGTGAAAGACAATTATCACCGCGCTTAGCCGCGTGTCGAAATCTCTACACCGATCTGTGCTTATTATCGGTTAACGAGGCTGCCGTTAACGACCGTGTTATCTGCCAACGGCGGGGCAACGTAATGAACTTCCTGACCGGCGGTTCGCTCCTGATAATCGTTTGTCCCTTGATCTCGTCCTGACCGTGCTCCAATTTCAACCGGTCCATGTCGGAGATCAAAATTTTTATCTCGAAATGATGATACCGTTTCATTGATTAAAAACTCTGAGATTTCCAATTTTTCCCAGAAATTAGTTATCTCTTATGAATATAAAATGTTAAATCGAGGGTATTCAGTCCGGTGCAACATAATGAACTTCCTGACTGTTCTCCAATTTCATACGGTCCATGTCGGAGATCGAAAACTTTGGCCCAATATCGAGATGCCGTTTCGACGTCTAAAAAAATTCAGAGATTTCTAATTGTTTTCCGGAAATTCGTTATCTCTCGTGGGCGTGAGATTTTAACTCAAATGCATCCGATTTTCAGGGACGTCTTGGTTCCCTCTCGAGCCCAACAGCATCGGTCGAGGATGGATGCCACCGTCGACGCCGACGCCGAGGACGACGACGCCTTCTACGATTCCGAGGACGACTACGAGGACCAGGAGGAGACCAAGTGAGTGGGTTTGGATTTCGAAAGTACCCCCTTATTTCCAGCGCCTTATTTCGGATGCCGGAAACAATGGGCAGGGTTTTCTAGAAGAGAGGTGCTTTCGGGAACACCGGCGAAGAAGGTGACTCCGTTAATGAGGTCGCGAGGAGTAGGTCAAGGTGTAGCCACTGGGGACGTCAAAAGGACGCACGAAAGTTCCGAACTCTTTTCCTTGGTTCTGGTGCAGGCGATGCCAGGAATGATAATTTTGCTGCCGATTGGTGACCTCGCGTTAAACTAAACCCGGACCATGAAGACGCGTGTGGTAGCTATCAGCCGGGTCTTGATAAGGAGGAAGGTGGCCTCAGAAGCGGAGTCACTTCCAGGGGCGAAAATCGACGCGAGTTTCCGGGGTCGTTTATCAAACCGCGGATCTCGAGCCTTATCTAGGAGGTCTCTATCGGCCCTTTCCGCTAGCTTTCCCCTACGTCTTTCTCTCCCCCCTGCGATATATAGGCGAATACCTATATATATATATATAACACACCTATACATCGTGTACTGTATCGCTCACTCTTCTCGAGGTAAATTCCTTCTCGAGAACGGTAATGCGGTTACGAGGGGAGTAACGGAGTTCCTACGAGCTGCAATTTCCTAATTCCGTCCCGCGACGTCAGCCTTGCCGAGGTCGTAAGGAACCCGAACTCGAATGCGAATTCGAACTCGAGATACGAGTACTCGAGCCGTTTGTTAACCGAGTAGAGGATTCGGGAGCGAAGATCGCGCGAGGGAGACGATTCAAAGCTCCGTTAATGAACGTCAAACATTTCCTTCTACGTAAACGCGCACATCCGCGGTAACGACGTAATACGTAGATTTTCATGGGGAGGGAGTCGTGAAAATCGAAATCCGCCATAAACGCTACGCCTTACATCTCGTGACTCACCGTTTACACTTGGAGGGATAACGTCGCGAGCGCTGAAACGCTGGGATTAATTTATTTTTCCCGCATTTTTTTGGCTACTTGTCGAGCAAACTGCAGTCTCTTTGTGTCCTGCGATGGTCCTTGCAGGGAAGGGTGACGAGTTCGATGGACCAGGCATCCGGGAACCGGATGATCCTGCAATTTGGCAGTCCGAACTTGGAGAAATCCTCGCGAGGAGAGCAAACGACGGTGTCGCAGTCGCCGGCTCGATCGGGCTGGAAAATATGATTTCCCATCGGCCCCCATTTGTTACGGGCAAATGCGATTGAAATACAAAGTTCCGAGCCGGCAGATTACATTTCGCATTCATGGGATTCCATCGGGAGGGGGCGTAAATCAAAGCTTCGAAAGTTCGAAGGCGACTCTCGTCGCGAATGGCCTCTGGTTCGCCGACCTTGGTAATCGTAACAAGCGGCAAGGCGGTTTATGAATTATATCCCGTACAGTTCGCGAGGAATTAGGGAGCGATAACCAGGCCGATCTTTCCCTGGCTGGCTTTTCATTTACCGATCGTCCGACCGGCCGGTAAATACGTGGAGATTAATTTCGGCTATAATATAAACAGGGCGTAGCAACGGGTGGGCGAGCGCGATGCATCGGCCATTGGAAATTTGTCCGCATTGCCAATGAGCTTACTGCAATTACAATGAGCGTTATAAATGCCGCAGAAGTTTTAACGCGGCCGATGACGGTTCCGCGGTCGTTCGGTTAAAATTTTCGCGTCTGGAAACGCGGTGGCTGATTTAATCGCGGGATTGCCCTCGACGCGATTTTGCGAATTCCGTCGGAATTTCGGAGGGCGCAATTTCGTCGGTAATTGACAAAACGCCTTCCACTCGACGGGGCAGGAGTCGCACGTCTTACTCCGCTAATACGGAGACGGCAAATACGGCAAATACGCCGGATGAGCCGGCAATTAATTGTTCCCCCTTGTCTACATATTAGTAGAGCATTATTTCCCCGGAATCTCGCGAGCCCGTACGCGCTATACTTCGCCGTATATAATCGACGTCGGAACTTGTTAACATCGTATAACGAGATAAATGAAACCGACTGTATTCATCCATCACGTCGAGGACGATGTGGCGTTTCCCTCGGCCCGGCCTTTAAGTCAGTCTCTCGACTCGGAGCTCCTTTCAGAAGTTTCAACCTTCCACCTACCCACCAATTTACTCGCGCATCCCGACAAATTGAAGCGGACCGTAATACTTGGCCCTTTATGCCCGGAAAAAAATCCTTACGAGCCACATCGTTCGATTTCGAACGAGAATGGAACCCTTTTTTGGCGGCCGCGTCCCGGAGGCAAAATGGCGTCCGCTTTCGGAAGGGAAATTCCACAAGGGTCTCTTGATGAATTTTTTCTCATATTGGACGTTCAATTAGCGCGACCTCGTCCCGTCTCGGAAGTCTCGGGAAATTCGCGTCTCGCGTGGTATCGCTTCGACGCTTCCGGTTGCCGGGGCCCGCCTGGTCTTCGGTTTCCGGTTTCCGTTCTCCGAGGGACACGCGAGGGCGGCTCCACGGTCGAACGCTCGCCTCCTCCCCCGGGGTCTCATCCAGCGCGACGTTTACGAGAGCCGGCCAATTACTCTTCGTAGTTCGGCGTCGCGACGCGGGGCGAAACGACGCCGCGCGACCGGGTTACAGGATTTTCGAGACGCGCCACTCGTCGCTCCCTGAAAAGCCCAAGGGGCCAATTAACGATTTTTCCGCTCGCTCGCGCATACACGTCGCGACGCTCCGCCGAGCGACGCCGAGAGGCGTCTCCCGCCTGCGGAAATCTACGGGACATCGGGACGCGTCGTTTCGTCGTTTGCGAGCGGACCCGCTCGTTACGTCCTGCCTGCCGCTCGAGTCGCCCTTTGCGAGGGGAAAATAATTCCCCGCGTCGGGACGCCGCTTCGAAAAGTAGGCGATCCTCGCATCTCGAGGCTTTCTACGAGCGCGCAGGACGACGGCGCGCCGTCTGCTTCGGACGGGTACATATAGTCATTTGGTTTGCGTCACGAGACGTTCCTTTGGCCGACGAGCCTAGAAACGGAACGACGGGACGTCGAGGCGTCGCCCTCGAAATGGGTATGCAGCACGACGGCTCGACGTTTTTCCGAGCTGAGTCGTATGTGAAGCCGTGGGCGGCCATTTTGGTTGCGTTCCCGCGCTTCGTCTTCCAGAGCCCGGGAAAAGTTCGTCGGAATCTCCTCGTTACCGTTTCCTCGACGATCCTCGTCTTCCAAAATGGCCCCCATCGCATTCTACTACTTCCTAACCGTGTTTTAGACGTTAAATAACTTTGATCGCGGTATTTCTTCGCCGCGCGCCGATTTTCATTCAAAGAACTGCCGGAGCGCGGCAGCGGCCATCTTGGAAATCGCGAAGAGCCGCGTCCTCGAGATCGAGCGTCCCTTTAAACGAAAGCCGGTACCTCGGCGGCGTCGTCGTCTTAAAAGACACCGCGTCCGTACGCCCCTTTTGCAGTCGGGTCGTAATTGACGGCGCGTCGGCCATTTCGGAGCCGCGTTCCGGGGGTACACTCTTCCGCGAGTGCACGGGACAAAACAACGAGGTCACGCGGGAAGACGCCTCGCGCCGTGCGCGTCCCCGTTTCGCCGAAGCCACAATTACTGCATTTTATATTATTCAAGGAAAACGCGCGCCCTTTGGGTCCGAACGAGAGAGCCCCTCTCTGCAGGAGGCCTGCAGGTCTCGGGGGAGTTTCGCAAAATACAGGGAGAGTTCGCCGGATACGCGCCGGCCGGTCGGGAAATACTGGCGTTCTACCGTATTACCGGTGGCAAAGGCCTCGGAGCTCTGTGCAAACTCCGAGCGCAGGCCTTTGCCGAGCTCCCCCGACGTGGGCCGCGCATTCACGGAGAAAAACTACCGGCTGCGGTGACATTAATATGCGGATGAAAGGAAAGCGCCGCTCCGGTATCGGGAATTTGGCCGCGTTTGCAGCCGACCCGGTGCAGCTCCGCAGCTGCGGCCGAATGGCGGGCGTTCGTTTGCGGAGACGCGCGCACCCTCGAGGCGCGATTTCCGCTCCTCGCGGGGGTCGGGAAAAAGCTCGGAGACGGGGAATTTGTTCGCCCCCGGCCCCGCTTCGAGCTGACGAAGACTGATTGGAGTCCTCCCCGGGCGGGTCGGCGACAATGGAATTTTGAATTTCCGCCGCGCGGCCTCGCGAAAAGGGGACATCGGCTAAGCCCGGGTAAACCATCCGGTAAACTCGTTAGGGCGGAATGGCCGCGGTAAAATCGGATTCCTGGCGGAGATGTTCCTTTAAAGTCGTTAAAGACTCGCCTGAAACCGTTCTCTCCATCGAGGAGTCGCGACGAATTTTCCGGCGAAATTCCACCTCGAGCCGCCCGGAGCTTCGCCGCGGTTGCTCGGAACGACTCTCGTCCTATATCGCGACGCGGAATTATTTGTTTGCCCACTTGTTATTTCTTTGAACGCGCCCTGCCCATCGGGAGGGAAATTCTGGCGGGACAAATAATTTTCCGGGCTCAAAAATGCGCGACCCTGGGTTTTTTTCAATCCCTCGAATGGGTACGCAAACGCCTTTACTCCCTGACCCTTCTCTCTCTCTCTCTCTCTCGAGCTTTCGTTATATATGATTTGCCCGGAGCTTTCGTCTCGTAATCTACCGGATTTTACGAGGCTTTTACCTTTGGCTCTTCCCTGCTTTACGGCGGTCGGGTCGCGGAAATTGTTATTAACGTTGATTACCGGCAGGTTTTCGAGTTGGTACCGGAGGCTGGTTTTCCGGGGGTGAGGATCCGCTTCCTCGTTTACTTTGGGAAGAACTTCCACGTATCGTACGATTTAATTGGATTTACTTTTCAGATGCCAGGAGTGTCCGGTGATCAAGCCCGTTTTCCTCTGCGGAAACGACAATCGAACGTACAGCTCGCCCTGCAGGCTGAGATACCACAATTGCATCCATTCCACTTCCGTCTACGTCATGTGTGCAGGATTTTGCCCCTGTAAACGTGAGTGCTCATTTTTCTTCTACAAACTATTTATGACACAAAATCTCCTTTATGACGGTTTTACTGGATTTTGGAGTAGCCGTAAGTGTACTTTAAAATCTACCGGATAGGTAGGGGTGTCCCGATGCCTGGCAAACAAAAATTTATTGCCAAAACGCGAAAAGTCCGCTCGGTCGCGGACACGACCGACAGATATTACATGGCGGAGAGAAAACCGACTTCCGGGAGCGATCCAAACCGCGAAGTTGCGTGGGCAACGCGTAAACTAACGAGGGCTGGAGATAAAGGTTGATTCGGCAGCGGCGCGCTCGTCGGGCGGAAATGGGAAGGTAAATAGCCGACCGCAATATTTACGTGATAACTGATGAATATGGCAAATAATTCGGACGCTCGATTAACCCGTGCACACGTGTAATTGCATTCGGGCGTGGTTAGGTGGACGCAGAGAGACGGCCGAAAATCGGCATCACCAACGATCGAGGAGCGTTTTCTCGAAACGAAGGGACCGAAAATTGGCACGAATAAAAAGCAGGGATTTTCAATTGACAACATGCTGAAAATTACATAATTTTGTTACAGGGTTCGACTTACACTCGCCGGGGAAGAAGCTGCAGATGCAGATGCAGAAGTCGCTGACGGGGAAGACGAGCCGCAACCGCGACATCACCCTGACCCCCCGCGACTTCAATTACGACAATCACCATTATCAGTACCTCAAGTACTCGAAGCGCGCCAAGGTGAGGTTCTCTCCTCATGGGAATGTTTATGAAAAAAAATTAAGATCTACCGGGAGATTCTTACTTTGTTGCCCCTTTAATTTTGCTCCGCCTTGTTATGCTAGGAAGATAATTACCGAAGACGGTGGAGGAAGGTGGTTAGGACGAGAAGGCAAGATCACGGAAGTGCAGGTGGAAACTGCAGTTGTCAGATTCGAGGGATCTTTCGAGCCGGGTAAACCCCCGGCTGAATAATTCTCTATTTACGGGTTTGCGCAGCCCGTTTAGCGCCATGACGGCGATTCGTTCTTTTCTCTCCTGGCCTCGTTTTTGCTTATTTCTCACCCGCCCCCAAGACCGAAGAGCCGTCCAAACTTCTGACGGATAAGTCATTTAACTTTTCCTAGACGCGGCTTCCCTTCTCGCTGGTTGCCTTCTCATTTCCACGGGCCTCTCGCCGGGAAAGAGCAAAAATCGCGCCCGGGAGGAAAAGTCAAGACTCGGAGAAATAACTCGGCGAGTTATTGGCGGCCATTAATTTCCTTTTCATTTCTCGGGCAGCCGGGTAATTACCGGGATTATTTTGCAAATCTCGCGACTTCACTCGTCCCGAAGATCTATCTCGTTTGGTCGAGTCGCTTTCCGCCTTTCTCGATGCGTTTGAATCAATTAGAGGGGGTGTTAAATTTTCTGGGGTGGGAATTACGGGAATTGCCGTTAACGGAGCGGACGGAATTCCTTTTTCTTCTCTTCTCCCCCTCGCCCCTCCTCGGAAGGGGATCTTCTCGAGAACTCCGACGGGTGTCTTTGCTCGTCGCAGTCGTTAACGTTATTAGATCCGGCGGTAATTCCCGCTCGGGGGCGCAAATTGTAGAAATTGCACGCGCGTACGGGCGTCGATATTTCGTTATGCAAATCGGCTGCGAGTTAAATAAATCGAGAGGGCTGGCGCCGTTTGCTTGGGACTCGGCAAGAAATTCGGGGGCTTTTTCGAGAAGCTCCGTGCGCCCGTAGTTTCCCTCACCGGAGGGGAGGATCGATCCTCGCTACATCGAGAATTCCCCGGGGGGTGCACGTCGCAGCGAGGCCTGTTATTTTCTGGAAAACGGGGCAATCTCGACTATTTCGAGCCGGGGATACCGGGCAATCGACGTATTTCAAGTGCACCTACACTTGGTGCCGCCATATCCGTTAAGCGGCGCGCAAAAGAACGCGCGACTCGCGACTCGCGACTTCCTGCACCGCAGTAAATCCGGATTGTCGAGCCTTGGGGAAATCTCCTACCTCAATTACGCCCGATCCCTTTTTATTTAGGTAACCCTGGCGTCTCCTTCGCGGAGGGCAAAAATTCGCGGCGGATACGGAAAGGCTCGCTCCTTCCAGAGATTTGCGTCTAGGAAAGGCGGAGGCGGATCTCGAGATCGCTAGCTGACGGCAACCCTGAATTTCCAGTCCTCCAGTTCCGGAGTTCCGAGACTTTTATTACCGCGCCTTGCTCCCCGTATCTCACCTCGGCCCCGAATGCGAGCGCCCGTAAAGAACGGAGCGAAGTCTCATTCGCGGCGGGGTCGAAAGTTTGATTTAGGGAAATTTACCGAGCTCTCTCTCTCTCTTTCTCCTAGCCACTTCTTCCCTCGAAGTCGCGAACTCGTCTCAAGTTCCTCGGTGGACGTACGATTATACCGGGAACCCTCAGGATCGAATCGAATCTCCAGCCGGGAAAATAACCGACTCTCGGGATTCCTCGGCCCGCCTCGACCGCCTTCCATCCGAATTTTCCAAAATCCTCCCGAGGAACTTTGTAAACTGTCGGGGAGATGCATCTTTATGGAGGAGCTCCGCGAGGATTCTCTCTCCGGGGTACTTTTCGGCTCCCTGGAAGGTGTCGAGATAAATTTGCACGCGTGTTCCAGGCCCTGGCTTTGAGCAACCGACGCGACGACAGACAACCCATGAACAACGAGGTGACGGAAAAGACCCCCTCCGCTCTGCGCCCGGCATACAACTCCCACGCGCAGTCGACCAGCAAAAATGGAGAGTGTCCACCATCGGGCAAACCCGCGATGGCGAATCGTCTTTTGGACTGGTTTTCAGTGGTCATGGCAGACGCTAAACATCGACGTCAACGCTCCAAGGCCAAAGGTATCGCCGCGACCCCTCGCTCTCCATTTGGGGGACGTATATCTAGATTCGCTCAGTTGCCAATATTTTTTACGAGCTCATCCTGCCTCCCCTAGGGCACTTCCCACCCGGCTGCCAGAGCGAGGTCAGATGGATGTTTGGCCACTTGGACCTCGACGGAGATGGCCGAATCTCCCTTTCGGAGCTCTACGGATTGGAACACGACCAGAACGAGCCGTGCTTGAAGCCGTTCCTGGACGCCTGCGACATCGACGGGTAATTAGAAATTCACCTCCCCGGGATAATAAAAGTACACGGGTCGAGGAACGAGTTTAGAAGATGCAGAAATCCAGCGCTAATATCCGAACTCGATTTTCAGGGACATCTTCGTCAGCGGTCCCGAGTGGTGCGGGTGCTTCTCCAAGGCCGAGCGACCTTGCGCAGCGGTTCGCAGACGATCATCCCCGGAAGTCGCTCCGTCCTGTGACTCTCGAGGATATTATCGAACCACCCAGTGTCATCGAGATTTGGGGCTCTGCTGGTGCGTCGACCCCCACGGCGTAGAGTTCGCCGGCACCAGGATTCGCGGTGAAAAGCCCGATTGTGGTCAGTTTGGATTTTTTTTATCCTGACAGGGATTTTTGGAAGAGACCCCTGCCGGGTCCTTTTGTCTTATGTCGACTCGATCTCGTTTCAGACGCAATAGTGAAGAAGATAAGCAACGGCGGCCTAAAGACGAATAGCGTGGACCTCGAGGACGACGAGGATTCCGCGCAGGACCTGGAGGGATCCGCGGACCAGCCTCTGGATTTCTAGAACCCCGAAGACCTGTGACGCTCTTCGTGGCTGGACGACACCTCTTTCCTTGATCGTAACGAACGACGTCTGCCTAAGATTGGTCAACTTCGTCAAAGGAGCTCGTAGGTCTCGACGTGGCCGGTTCGTCTCGCCGTGCCGGAAGGAGGTGTCGCCCTGCTCGCGCCTCGACGACCTCGAGGAGCGCATCGTAACGCCTCCCTAGTTGGGACACCTCCGAGCACACGACTCACCTAGAAATAATATAATTACAAACTATTTATGCATTTAAAATTAGAGAGACGTTACCGAGGAGGCGGAGCAGCAGGAGCGAGTACGAGGGAGGAGAGGAACTTACCGACTACACGCCGACGAGCCGTACACTCCATGACGCATTACAAATTACTACCTAGAAGTACAGAATACTCTTTATCATTTCTAAACGGTAGGTCTACCGATACACACGTAATATCTAAGCATCATATACCGTCTTTACGACTCACTATAAATATGCAAATATCTATATAAGACCCAAGTTGGCTGAGAGGGAAAGATCCGGGGATGGGTGGGGAATAGGGCCATTATGGTGTTTAGAGGAACACCCCAGGTTCGGGAAAAATACGTCGAGCTTTAGTTATGTTTTACGAATAGTTTATTAGTGGCTGTTGCTAGTCCGTTGTTCGACACGGTCTTTGGTGAAATTAGTTGTTACTCCTATTTATTTTTGACCCGCGACTCGAAACGAGCCTCGGGGTAGGTTACTTTGCCTCTCGTAGCCATCTTGCTTTGCGACGTTTTAGTATTACTGTAAGATATAAAAATCGAAGACTCGAGGAGGTCTACGCGGTTCGTTACCTTGTCAAGAATGTATAACGTCAAGCCTCGATTTTATACATTTTTTTCAACGTATGCGGCCCAGGGACGATGCCGATCGTGCCGATCGTGTCCAATACATCGTCAGAGTGATGTGAAATTCCAGGTGTGACTCCCAAAATTAATATCTATCTTTCGGGAGATTTGTTTACTTCTCTCTCCGACGGAAACTTGGGTCTTGGTACACCAGTTGGAAAGTTACATATTTTCAATACGGCACTTGTATTTTGCTATTAAAGCCTCTTTTGCTAATCCCGTATTTTGGCTTACGAAGAGGGCAACGAATCGAGGTTCTAAAAGGTGTACATGTTTTCAATGCGAAGAACACTTATCGAATATACCCAGGTCTTTTATGGGGTTGCACCTGGCATTGTCCTTGAGCTTGGAACGAAAATTTCGCGAAACCGGAACCAACCGGGCTTCTCGAAAGAGTGCACCGATCGATTCCTTTCGGAGCCGCAGAGATTTTGTTGCCGCCTCGCTAAAGTACTTAACCGTCCCGCATTTAGTATGTAATTAACGCTTAATTCAAGTTACCGCGTAGAGGGTAGACTCCTTGAGGATCGACGGAGTGTCGGGACGATCCTCGGCAGATAGACGAGAAATATATTATTCAAGGCAATAATTCACTTTGTCCCGCCGTAGCGAGGAAGAGAGCGCAGATAGTCGACGTCGTTCTTCCGCAAAAGCCTATCGGGAACGGTCAAGGTGTTTTTACTTAGATATTTGACTTAAAGGATATACGCAGTACGCTCTAGATACTAGATCGGCATGTAACTCATAGAGAAGCGATCGGTGTGTCTCAAGCGGTTACGCCTCTCGAAAGGGCATTTCCACGTCTGCTCAGCTAATTCTTCCGGAAATCGCAGACTCGATGTTCGCAACTGCTCTTCAGACCCGAAGACGCGTATGCCTCTTCGTTAGACGTGTAGTTCGATAAGCAGGCCGAGGGCCAAGCGACGTAACGATTTTACTTTCAAAGGGAAATCCGCTTCTCTGTCGTCGTTAAAAAGAAAAAAAAATCGAACCGCTCGTTCCGAATTGCCAAGAGTCAAGGGGAGATTTACCGAGGATTGTTCTCCTGGTTTCGAGGACGTCTTTTCGCTTTGTTTCCTTCTTTCTAAACGCGGTCGTCCCTTCGATTGGACCGGGGCAAAATCCTGCTGGAACACTTAACCGATTCGTATAATCCTTTAGGAGTATATTATATCTACATGCCATTTAATCGATTACGAAGGATCAGTCACGGTGAACTCGTAGCAGAACCCTTGCTACGTCTAAAAGCAGAACTATGAAAACTGAGTATGTGTCCGTGTGTGCATGTCGAACCGAGTGTCCAAGAGAGAAAGGAGCGAGAGAGTCGCGTTCACGTACACACATTCCTCACACTGTCGACCTAGAAGTAATTATAGTGATTCCGGGATATAAGAAAAAAAAATAATAATACAGAGAACAAAAAGCTCCGGCGTTACCTCTTGCATTGTGTATATAATGATATATACAGTAAAAAGGAAGCATCGTCCGAGACACTCGTGCGTGATTTTTTGTAAGGTATGCTCCGGATCAAAGCGTAAAGAATTTCTACTTAATTTGGAGGCTACCGTAGATGTCCAATTGATATTGTACATGTGGCTGTAAGGATTCTTTATGAATAAAGATTGTTGTAGACTTCGGATGTAATCATTTCGTCGTGAGGCAGGTTTTTTAGGAATAAAGATACCGTATTATCCTCTTCGTAACGAGACTTCCTTTTAATTGTGCTATACTTTCAATGTGTGTAATATGAGATGATACATAATATGAGCTTGAAGGGATAAAATATTTATTACTGCCTCTAATTTTTCTAACTTTTCAGTACTTTGGCTGTTCCTCGCAGGCTCTCCAGGCTGCCTCATACTAAGTTCTGTTCAATAAAATCGAGGAAAGATGTAACGCGTGTGTAAACTCCCGGAAAACCGGGTTCTGCACATCGGAAACCGTAAGACACCACGCCAATTAAATAAAACGTATGTCCTTTGGGGTACATCAGCGGTCCGCCGCTGTCACCCTAGAAAGTGTGTATAAAAATTGTAAAAGACGAGATATTTATTTTCCTAAGCTAAAAATGCATTCCAATCGACGGACTCACCTGACAAGCGTCCTTTCCGCCTCTCGCAAATCCAGCGCAAAGGACACGGTCGTCAATAACCGTTTTAAAGGGCTCGAAAGTCCGTTTACAATCCGCAGGGTCGACTACCGGGACCTGTACCTCTAACAAACGACTACTCGACGGTCCGTCTACAAAAATTAGAAAAAATTAGTGCACCGTAATGTTGATATTTATCGTTAAAACTCATGTACGTACTGAAGTATACGGAGCCCCAGCCTGCGAGGAAAGGATAATGGCGGACAAGATTTTTATTCTTCATCTCATCAGTCACGGGAAGACAAATCGGGCGAATAAGATCTGAAAAAATCGCATTATCAAATATGAGAAATATACTTTTACATTTCACTAATATTTACAGTTTCCGGTGCAAGGTTTCCAACATGGCTGCCTTGGAGACTTCAACGAGGGGACACGGCATTACAGTATGTACTTAATTTATTGTTTTATATGTTTATGAATTTTGAGGATATTGTACTTTTTTCTGGATAATAATTTTGAAACCAAAACGAAAGAAATGTTAAGACGTACCCGTGAACGTAACGTCCCTGTTCAGCCTCAAAATGGCGATGTCGTTGGTGTACCTCACCGAGTCGTAATTCGGATGAATAATTTTCTTCTCGATAAGGATGTCAACAGGAGTGGCTCCGTCGTCGTTTCTGGACAGATCCAGATCACCAAGACGAGTCAAGTACAAATCTTTGCGACCAAAGACGCAATGGCCGGCAGTGAGGACGTGCCTTGAAGATATCAAGGTCCCTCCACAGAGCCACTTTGGCTTGTCTTCGTTCTGATTTAAGTTCTTGTTCGATCGGTACCCGAGAGCCACGATCCAAGGCCAGGCTCCTACGAGGTAAACGTTTTATTTCCTCGACATATCCTAATTTATTGAACCCGATCGGTTACAGGAGGTAACTCACCAAGAGGGGCAGGATCTCCACCGACCACCCTCCCATGATTGGTGTTGTTGCTGATGCCACATTCTTCAGGGAGCAGGGGTCCGTAAAATCGACTCTCCACAATCGTGGAGTCATTATTCTGGTTCTGGTTGCTCGTAGGTGGGGTTGGCGAAGTCGAAGTCGGACAGCAAACCAATGGATCGAATCCCACGTATCCGCATACGGTGCTTCGCAAAAAGTCCCCTGCAGCTTGCCTTTGGGTTCGGAGGATGTTCAGCAAGGGTGTACATTGCCTTATGCCGATGCAAACGCCGGGTTGATTCGTTGTCGTGCAAGCCGAGTCGGGAACACCTTTAACGTGCGATTTTGGAAAACGGAAAAATGTATTACACCTTATGCCGATGCAAACGCCGGGTTGATTCGTTGGTGTCGTGCAGGCCGAGTCGGGAACACCTTTAACGTGCGATTTTTGACAAATGAAAAAATGTATTACACCTTGAAGTCACGATGTCATCAGGCTTGGTCCTTGAATATTTATTTCTACGGGCTGAGAGATGATGTTCTCTGAGATGTTACAATCGGTAGAGTGAATTTAGAGTTGGTCAGAAATTTAGCGAACGGGGAATGATTGATAAGCCTATGACTAACGCGAAGTGAAGAACGACTCGGAGCAATGGGACTCGAGTTGACGTCAATTTAACACACGTATTATTGCGCAATTTTTCATTATTAGACATATCATTGCGATAATCCATTAAAAGGCCTCTCAGGAATTGCATCGCGTCCGTCCTTCTCAAGTGTGCGGATAATGAACACGGTCAATAGGATGCTCGGCTCTATTGACAAGTGACATTCGTTCGCGAGCGAATCGTCCTTTCAGACGCATGCAGATCGTCGCGAATCGACGACCTCTCTTCTAGTTTGTTTAAGCGTCAATATTTAATTAGAACTCGAAGGCTAACATCGAAAGAAAAATTATTTATCATTCACGAGAAAGTTCCATAATTATTTCCTTATCGGTGAACTTGATACCTTTATACTTTCAAGGTCAGATTTTTGGGTATTAAATAATTCTCGGTATTTCACCTAACGCCAAATCCGTGCACTTAAACGTTACCTTTTCCATGAGTTTAAGAGTGCCAAGGTCAGAAATGAATTCCAGACGGAAGAGTACGGCGGACTTTAACGAAATTTCATAATCATTCTTCGAATTCGCCCGGCCGACAGCCCATCATCGAGCCTTGACCGCTTTTAATCGGCGTTGTCGAATCGTTAATGCCGTTTCATCGCGAAATCAACGAGATGGACACCAGAAAAGATGTCGAACTTTATGTCGAATTACAAAAAAGCTGGAAGGACATATCACACGTATATATGATACATACCTTGAGAGGAGACGCTCCGCAGCAAGAAGTATAAAAATACGACGAGTGCGAGAGGGGTCCGCATCTTTTCCTAAATATTTCCTAAAAAAAAAACGGAGATAAATAAGAAGTTTGCTTAAGGTAATGAGAGAGACCGGGTCCCGAACCCGTTCCACTAAGACAGGTGATTATTCAAAAATACAGGTTCCTCGAACGATACACCTGTATCGCCGAAAACTCCGATATCCGAGAGGTTCATTCAAAATCGAATACTCGAGGAATGAGTCGTACACGAATAATTGAAATTTCAACGAAGATAATTGTAATTTAACTCGATCCTTCGACCAAGGATACGCAATCCCGGTAAGTCGTCAACTTGTCGGAACGCGGATAAAACCTGGAAAATGTACTGAAATGACAAGATTTTTCGAGGAACCTTTAGGGACCAGAGGAGATAACGACTATCATGATAATGATCCTTCGCGGCAATCAATCCTGCCTGGAAATTTTGAAGAAAAAAAAACAAACCGGAAACGTCATTACGTCCACGTGGTCAGATTTACGAGTTTCGGTGCACACCGATGCAGATTCGCAGCATTCGATGAATCACCCGAAAGAAATAGCAACTATTAGTTATTTGTGATTACAGTAATCTAGCGATGGAACGGAAGCGATTCGCGGAATATACGAGTCGTCAATTATTGCGGATCTCGAACGTCGAGTTGGAAAATGAAGTAATGGAATCGCGTAATTGATGCGCATACTGTGTGTTTATTAAAGAGGCCATTTTCATAGGCAAACACGAATTGAACTCGCAACCGGAGTGCGCTGTATTAAATCCGGTAAAAGAAATATTTTATAACGCAATTGCGGCTCTCAAATCATTCAGACAACTCGAGAATGGGCGAACCATAACATTGCGTGAAATTAACAGCCTCGTTGTGCCAATTAGTCGTATAAAGCCATTTACCGAGACAAGTATGACGTAAACGAGGATCGGGCCTTGATTTCTCCGAGACCGAAGAAAATCGCCGGGCGGATAAAAACCTCATCAATGATATAAAAATCCGCACGCACAAAAGAACAGGAAGACGAACATTTACGGGTGCGAAGGTCCTCCGCGAGATAAATTACCCGCTCGTAAAAAACTATAACATTGTGCAAAATGAATAGCCCGTCTCGGCCATTAACGGTTCAAATCGCGAAAATCCGGTAGCCTTTTCCCAAGGATTTCTCGCCCGAGAAATGTCCCCTAAGGTCATAGGTCCAGATAAAAATATTCCATGGTGTCCGTCGCTAATTGTTGCTGGGAACTTGTTCCGGACGTCGGTCGTTAGAAATGGCGTCCAGCCGGAATCGGGTGATTGTACCCAATATGGAATAATTATTTCTGGCGTCTTTCTTCACCGGTACGTATTTAAATCCTTCGCTCCGTCAATCTTTGGCGCTTGGCTATCGATTGTAAGAAATCCCAGGTGTCTCTTTCGCGATAGGTATATCGTTCACAAGTGACCTTACTATAATTAACGCACAAGGATAATCCAGACAGATGAGAGAGGCGATAGACATTTTTTCTCATCCTTGGCTCTTAAGTTTCCTGGTGGCGAATTAGAATGTAATTCACCCTGTAAATCGAATCTAGTGGATTTGCTATTTGATTTGACTTTTATACATGATTTTAGGATGCAACAGGACGAAGCGTACAACCGTATCAATGGCGATTCCTTGGTCTCGCCTGAACTCTCTAGTACATGGTCCTTGTCAAGGATGCAAACGATTGGCAATCGCGCAGAATGTGCGATTCTCCTTACCGAGTACTTACGCGCGAGCTAATAATAGAGAATCGTCGGACATGTCATTTCTAGCCGATTGCGCGCGATCGACATACCCTGAATATTAACGAGGCTAGAGTTTGAAATTTAATTTCGAAGTTGTGGACAGCGTCCACTGGAGGGAAGAAAACGGGAGCTGATGACAAACCGACGATGACGTTTTCGAGGCATAGAGGCAATAAATGTGGAATCTCACCGACCTTCCGCATGACGCACCGTCTCGTTGCCTTAAGCGAGAAACTCTGTACGGCATTACCTGTACCCGAGGTAAGTAGGGAACCCCGGTAATCAGATTTTTTAAAAAACTCCCGAACTCGTCACGACCAAAGAAGCCACTCGGGCATCACTCACCCTAAAACCGCTCAAACTCTACGTCGAAAGAATTTTTGAAACTCGAAAGCATCCTCGAATCCTCGTGGGCACCGAAAATCCCGACTCAAAGAGTACTTAGAAAGTGCGGCGATTTCTCCTATAAAGTATTTCGGAATAACTGGAATTTCTCATGCCGAATATCGAATACTAACTCGCACGGTTTCAGAATTAACAATTTGAATTATCGCTTCGCTTGGACTCCAGAAGAGTCGTTTATACTTAATTCTAAGTTAAAAGGTCGTTCGCCGAAGGTGGCTCCGATTTACCGTGGAGACGTTTAGTTTAGGCCTTGTTTGAGTTCCAAGTGAGCGCTTCTTATTTGCAAATCGGAGAGAAGAGAACCGAGTAGCGTCCACTGGACCACCGTCGCGAGACCGTTTCGATCTCGAAGTTAGGACGAAACTGATGTCTCACGTCGCTTCCGACATTCTCTTTATAACCGAGCACCGACCGGCCAGTCCAAGATCGCGGGATTCGTGCAAAACGATCCCACCGATCTTTTCTACGAAACGAGCAGTCCCTCCGGGGACGCCCCGCGCCTCCGCAAAAAGGCTCTCCGTAATTTCCATCGCCAGTCGTCGTCGAACCGTGATGTGTTACAGAGAGCATATAAGATCAGTTGACAACGTGTCGTTTATTAAAAGTTCATTAATACCCTAGAAGCTGTTAGTCGATCCCTTTCGTAAATGCTACAAAGTCTCGACTCGACGATCGGAGGTCAATTACACCACGACGTAAAAATATTCGCAAGAATCGGGACGAGCCAGCCAGCTCGGAATATATGTGGTACGATCGTAAAAAAAACATTGACGAGCATGACATACGAATAAATTTGTTTAATGCGTAAGTTACAGCTAGTAAGTCTACATTTATTACAATTAAGCTGTATATAATTCTCAGTTACCATTGATTTCATTCGGAGTCGATAACTATCTTTTGATCGAGCATGAGAATTAAGCACGGCTGTTAAAAAGCTGATTGGAGCTACAACAGGTACGCGCCATTCATGCGAAATAACTAGAAAACAGTCGTTTAATATCACCGCTGTATTCCCAAAAATATGTATTCGCTTCGCTAAACTCATCGACGACTCTTTCCTAAGTTTGTTGATTGCGTTACCTTATGCAACGGTTGCATAGCACCATTCGTGAAATATATGAAACGATCTCGTCCTCCGTTTTACGCGCGACAGCATTGCGAGCTCGTCCTACGATGCAACGGACGTCCTAAATGCATTCGCGTGATTTCGCAATGACGATAACAAATTGGAACAGGGAATACATTCGACAAGTTTCTCGTATTCGCTGTAGCCGGGGTCATAGAAAGAAGTACTATACACATTTTAATATTTCGTTCCACGAAAGTCACGTTTATCGTTTTGTTAAATAAATCGTACGTAAATGAAATACATCCTGTCGATCACGGCATTAAACTAATTTATCAGGCTCCCTGAAATTCGCGCGATAACGCGACATTACTCGATGGGACGTTTCGACCTATTCCTATTCGGAAAGCGAAACGTTAGGACGTTCTTCTCAATCATCGTCATATAAATTCCATCATACGGAAACGAATATATCGGACGATACTATGTCAGTTATTAAATAAATACCGACACGAGTATCATATTTTTTTAAAATGGCATTTACGAATATTTTCTATCCTATAAATCGATATCAATTGGTCGAGGGGACTGTATTGTAGTATATACATATGTTTACTTACAGAAAAGCAACGAGAGCAAAAATGGTTATCGAATTCATAAAATAATCTAATGTCCGATTAATCGCAGAACCGGCGCTGTCCCTTACATTTAACATCCTCGGAAAAATTTCGTTTCCGAGCTTCATCACCCAAAGTGATCGCTTTGTTTACCGACAGCGAAGTTACTTCTTTTGTTTATACCGTGCGGGTGAGATTCAATTGAATCATAGGAATTACACCCGGGCACGTTCGAATTTAATCTACACAAAATTGGTGCTGCCCTTGAAGGAAAGTTTCAATATCCACTCGGCATATGGGACACCTCTTATTCGTGCATAACCACTGATCGACGCAATCGATGTGGAATAAATGCATACATGGAAGCCTCCTGAAAGTGAATGATCCTTCATAACAATTTTTTATAAAATAAGTGAACTTATGTGAAACCATTCTTACCTTACGCTTTCGCAGTCCTCGAACTCCGATAAACATATGGTGCACTTTTCAAGAGCATCATCTGCATTCTCTGCTTTTTTCACCTAAGACAATTGTCACAAATTGGAGGGATTCAAGATACGAACAAAAAATCATTTCTGTTAAACTGTTCTATGGCAACGTGTATTCTTACCCGCTTATACTTGTAAGGGAATGTGTGGGTTTCGATAGACTCCTGTGTCGCTCCACAGCTTATGTTTCTTATATTACGCCTGAAATTCATGAATCGCATAATGTTCTCTATTCGCGCTGTCATTTGTCTATCTCGAAGCAACACTTCCGGCAGTAGTAGGGATGGGAACAAAACATCCTGGGATCCCAAGTTCGTCTGTGACATTCAGAATGGAAAAGCAAGTAAGTGACTAATACAGAAATCTAAAATGACTGCTGCAAGTGGATCAATTAAAACTGATCAAAACCTTCATCTGAATAAAAAATACGTCTTACCAGTCGTGGGAAATTTATATGCAGATGTTCCCTGCGTGGTGGCATTTGTGGCATTAGATGATGCGTGTAGTAATGGTACGTATAATAGCGCAAGTGCCGATGCAATGGCGTCGACGTCATCATCTCTGGAGGAGGAGGAGGAGGACCGGGTACCGGTTCTTCGATGTTGGTCATTGGGTTTACCTTAATGTTATTATATTTTTTTAATGTAATCGGTGGTTTTACTTTACGACTGAGTAAAATGAAAGTAAAATCAACGTACATTGACTGGTTGAGGACACGGACCCCCAAAAGTAGGTGGTCTGACTTCAGGATGACTGAAGACCGTTGGTTGTTGCGGTGGTAAAGGTGGTAATGGCGGAGGAAGAAGACGATTCATGTAAGGCATACGGTCTCTTCCGTAAAAGTGCATATTCGTAGTGTTATTTTGTGAATGCGGTGGTAAATGGCAGACGTAAGGTGCATTATCTCTTGAATTGGAACAATTTCCTGACATATTGTTACCACCGTTACCTCCGTTGCACGAGTGTTGGCCATCGTGACGGACATGCGTCGCTCCGGGCAAACACCTAAATCAAAATTCAATTTGCTTTGAAAAATTCTGTTTATCAGGAAATACTTCAAACAAATGATATACCAATTTAAGCCATAGTGATATACCGTAGTTAATTTATACTGGCTTTATTGTTTACCTGTAATCGATTGGCCTATACAGCATTCGACGACGCACCTCTTGCATGCGCTGTTGGTTCATCCAAAGTCTCTCTTGCATTATATTCATTCGGTTACGAATTGGACTCATTACTGACTCTGTAAGTAGTTTAAATATCATTCATACCCATTTTTCAGGAAGGTAAACCTAATTATCCTTCTTCACACTAACCCGCATACGAAGGGTAGTCGTAACGAGTGTCTGGAACTCTGTGGCGGTACCCACGATGGGGGTAGTACATGCAGTTTGAAAGTCCGTGCATACAACAATTATTTCTGTACAAATAAAAATTCATCAATAATGATTTTCTCAGCATCATAAGTTGATAAAAAAACATAGAAGATGTCTCATTCTGCTATTGAATTTTATGTCAAAGCGAACCTATGTATTTGATCTGCAGGTGGGTGGTGAATAGGTTGTTCGTTACTTGGCGCCGCTGGCGGATGCTCTTCATCAGATTCTGCGGTCAAGTCAACTACAGTCACTGTACGGTTGTTTCGTTCGGAATTTTGCGATGTATTCTACGACACACCACACCCAAATGTTAAGCTTACGTTATAACACATATTTAAGGCACAGATTGGTTTATCCATGACATTAATAGAAATAATCTTCCGATGTAGTACTTTGCTATTGCGATTCACAGTCCCGAGAACTTCTACTGCGCCGTCTTCGTCGTCGCTGTCGCTATCGCTATCGCTGCTCGAAGACCAATCTAATTGTAGATCTGGAGCAGATGGCGTGTCATCGTTTCCTAGGTACGTAGAAATAAATGTTTTTTAAATTTAATGTTTCTCATATTGCCAAAAAGCTATTTGGAAAAGAAAATTCATACTCGACGCGTGGCTTTGGTGTATTTGTCGAGGGTTTATCACAGTTGTCGATTGTGAAGAACACAACATGGGTTCATCTGTAGTAACATTTCCAGAACCTCGAGCGCCTTCATGTAATACACTTCCAGCTCGTGCTGCTGATCCAGTAATGCTACAAAGATTTACGACAAACACACAAGATAACAATTTAATTCAGTAATTCAATATTTGACAAATGTTGTTGAATTTCAATTTAAAAAATGTACAATTTACGTTTCTATTAATATTTTTTCTAATATTAACCTGTAATCCACTGGATGGTCCGTTAACCGAGAAGGTCCAGCTAAATTGGAACCTTCGGTACATTGGCCATTAGTCACCTTGCATTCTGGATTTCCATTACGTTTATGCTCCAAAACACCTCTTTCATGTAATATTTTTTTATGAATGTGTGAAGCATAAGTGTACTTATTGTCCAACCTAGACGAATGCTCAGGTGGAGGGACGTAGGTATTGTCCAGGGTAGTAGAATGTGCAGGAGCAAAGACATACGAATTATTAAAACTATGAGAATGCGAAGGAGCGTAGACATGGTTCCTGTTTAAACCAGTCAAATGTGCATGGGCATAGGCATAGTTTTCATCCAGGTTAGCCGAATGTGCAGGTGCAACAAAAGGAGCACTAGACGCTATTTCCGTTTCTTCGATATCGCTATCAGCAAATAAATGATCATACTCCATTTCAGTGCCTAAAAATTCCTTACATTGAAATATGACAGCCGAATTACAGAAAAAGTTAATACATTTTTTTAACGCAACTCAAAATAATGTACCTGCTGAAAATCGAGGTTGAGGAGAAGGATCAACTGTGGATGTAAACGCAGTGTCGAATATGTCAGCTAATGATGTAGAATTTGCATCCACTGATCCCGTTGCAGGTTCAGCATTAAATAGATTACCTTGGGTTTCCGATTTTCCTCTTCTACACATGGATTCAGAACTTGTGCCTTCTTCCATTCTGGTAAGCATGGATAATTTGTTTAAAAAACAAACGAGAGCCTACCATTGAATAAATTAACTCGTTACTTTTCCTCTCCCTCAATTAAAACGGTACATCTTATCGTTATTGCATGGTACTTTCTGCTTTGAAAGTAAACGGCAGAATATCTTTCAAGTAATTTTCAGAAATATTGGTACACCAAAGACGATCTTGTTCTTATCATGTTGTGTCATCAGAAAATTGAATACTTCTGTCATTTGTACTCCATAGTGGATAATTGTGGTCGAGGATGAAATTTGGTTAGTCAAAATCTGATTGAAAAAAAGGAATAGTCTTTTATCGATTTACGATCCAAGAAAATAATCGGGCAACTACTGAACGACGGGAAAATTTCCGAAGAACTGTTCAACAAACCTTGATACTCTCATGGACAATTTCGGCAGAGTTGAAAGATTTCTTTACCACGTCATTTTGGCAGAAGATTTGATGGTTATACGGCGGTCTGATTCACACTGGACTGACGATACTTGTCGCGGACATCGGTATGCGGCTTACTACCTATAACCCGTGCTCACTGCAAATTTACCGAATTTACACACTTTTTTCTACGGGTAAATTTAGCTATGAATATTCTTATGTCGGTAACAACAATAAAATGTAAAAGAATGGGCATAGGCCAGTTCAGACCAGCTCTTTGCGTAACTGCATCGAGCTACCGAAATACCATCAATCGTACTTTGTCGTAACTACTTTAATCGGCAAAAAAAAACTATACGGAACTAGCAGGAACCTACCTTACCTGCTTGTGATAATGAAACTACTATAATCTTGTCTAACCAAAAATGTTCTTCTTATATCGTCATCGTCGTCTCTCCAGTCACGGACTACCATTTTCACACTCACATGATAGGTCAACTTCATACGACTCTTTGTATTTACCGATGGTGCAGCCTTAGGACCAATTCCACGACTCAAATTATTCGAAGTTCAACTGGTTGAAATCGCGTGTAAAGTTTGAAGAGAACAACCTTTCCCGTTGAGCTACTGTGGTTGCATTTGCGAAAAAAATTCACCGGCGTCTGGGCGGTCTGAAAACCGGCTGAAAAAGTTATGGACCTTTCAAAAAAGCTTCAAACCCTGTATCTGCCATCGCGATGCGCGAGTACCCACCAGAAATGTGTTGCGCCGCCACAGAGGGGTTGCAGGTGGTAAGTGCGTTAGCTGTCGGCATCCTCTACCGGAGGGCAGCACAGGACACAAATCGCGCGACCCTGCCCGTGACAGAGATGAGTTGGGAGATTGCTCACGGGCAGGATCGTGCGATCGCATCCTGTGCTGCCCTCTGGTTTCGTACGTTAGCTTTCACCGTTTTTTGCCCCCAAGGGCGGCGTAACGAATTTCTGAGCGGAGCTCGCCACTCGCGATGGCGGTGCCATTTACCAGTCACAGTTGACGGCTCACGTACTCGTGATGGTAATACCATGCGGCAGTTGACGATGGTGGCTTATCTACGTTTACCGACACTACTCGCTTTTGATGGTAAGGGAAGAACACTCGTGACGCTCCATTTGACTTTATCTACATATCTACTACTATTAAGTACATTGTTGCCTCGAAGTCGACATGATGCGGAGCTTTGGGGCACGCGGCGGTGTCCTGTACGGAACCCTCATGCAGCGAATCTGTGAGTGCGATCGCTGCTAGAAATCTTAGCGCGTTCCAACCACCCAAGCGCCAAGCTACGGGTCGAGACGTTGAGTATTTGTGCGTTCGGCGCTACACTCGACGAGTATGCGTGAGAGTCGAATACTGCGAAAATCCTCCCGAGGCTTATCCAACCCCGGATATAAGCCGAGTCATTTTGCGTATGACTTTTTTTACATTAGATAAGTAGATAAAGTCAAATGGAGCGTCACGAGTGTTCTTCCCTTACCATCAAAGGCGAGCAGTGTCGGTAAGCGTAGGTAAGCCACCACCGTCAACTGCCACATGGTATTACCATCACGAGTACGTGAGCCGCCAACGGCGACTGGTAGATGGTCCCGCCATCGCGAGTGCGCGAGCTCCTATCAGAAATTCGTTTCGCCGACCTTGGGGGTAAAAAACGGTGAAAGCTAACGTGCAGCACAGGATGCGATCGCACGATCCTGCCCGTGAGCAATCTCTCAACTCATCTCTGATCATATTTTGCATTTCTCTCAATTCTCCCTCGGATAACGCTACGAGCGGAATTTGGTGTCATATATTCTAGGTCCATGAACAGTTCTTATTCTCGTATGCCAGTGTCATGGGATCAAGGTAAACAGAACTTATGGATTCAGGATAACGACGTTCGACGTCCATTATCCGTACTGTGCCCTACTTTATGAGCAACTTTGTGCTCGGGTTTCTATAGTTCTTGATAATAGTCGAAGTTAAGATGTACTGCGCGATAATCTTCTCTGAAATAAGTTACGGTTGTTCGAACTGACAAGAAAACCGCAAAAATTGCGGGCAACTTGGACAACAACCATGGTGGATAAATAATGTTTCATTGATAAGGTATTTTGACGATTGAATTGCATTTCATTTAATAATGAGCCAATTTAATGGAAGAGGTAGGCATTTGGAATTTCGTACAAAATCGAATGACTAATGTGAGTTATATAGCATGAAAGATTGCAACTGACTCTTCTTTGTCAGAAAGTGGTTTGTCTTATTTCGAGTGGAAATGCTTTTTCAGAACATTAATTATCTATCAAAAGTAATTAAATTTTTTTAAAAGATAAATGATATTTTATTACAGATTTTCTTGAAACGGCAACTTAAGATATTTTAACGCTCCAAAAAAAGGTTCCATTGTGTCTGTCTTACTTTTGCTGGAACAACAAGCTGGTATGTATTCGTATCGTATGCTTTAAAGAAATTTCTCACTGTAATAATGTTTTTGTAGATTAGTAATGCAGATTTTGATGAAAGGATTTCTTGATTCGTATCAAGCCTATGAGTTCAATATCTTGGATCAAAGAGTTTGCTTTAACTAAGTAAATATCCCAATTTTGTTTCTTAAAAAGAAGTGATATAGGTGCCAAACATGACATCCATTGCAATGGAGGAGTACGAGCTCATGAATGACCCAAAATATCGGGTGTAAGTTATTTCCACCATATTAAATTTAGTTAGAAACTAATAAGTGAACGATGACGAATAAATTGTATATTGAAATACGTTATATCTAATTAGTCAGATTTACTTAAGTATATCTATATTTCATGATTTACTTGGTAGAAATAATGTATTATGAATTACATGTAAAAGATAATATGACATAAATGGATATATGCACGTCTCATTAGGTATGTTTCACATGTGGATAAGGCATTGAAAAATTTTGAATCGACAAGCGAATGGGCAGACTTGATATCTGCCCTTGGAAAGCTTAACAAAGTATTGTCAAGTCATGCAAAATTTCCTGTCATTCCAAGGAGAATTAAAATTTCAAAAAGATTGGCACAATGCATGCATCCTGCTTTACCATCTGGGGTTCACTTGAAAGCCTTGGATACTTACGATATTATTTTCAAGTGTATGGGTACCAATAGACTCAGCCATGAACTGTTTATCTACAGTGCAGGTACATGATTTAAATTAATTAAATATCTGCTTAAGAAATGGATTGAGGTATGTAATTTTTCAGGTCTCTTTCCACTACTGGGTCATTCTGCCATGAATGTGAGGCCTTCGCTTCTGAAGGTTTACGAAACACATTTTGTACCATTGGGGGAGAGGTTACGTCCTGGTTTGAGTGGATTTTTAAGCGGAGTCCTTCCAGGATTAGAGGAAGGTTCCGATTACTTCGAAAGGTATTCTGTATAAAAGTTAAATATGCTCAAATTATACACCTAAAATTGTATTTAATTCCATAAAATAATGTGCCCATGTTACATTAATACTTTGCAGAACAAACCTGTTGTTAGAAAAAGTATGCGAGGGTGTAGGTGCAGAACATTTCTATAGTTGCCTGTGGGGCTGCTTGTCATCAAACTCTGTCATTCGGTTTCCAGCCATATCATTTGTATTAGCTCATTTTAATAAAAAATTTTCCATGGAGGAACAGTCATACATCATGGGCCTTAATTCTGACACAATGGTAAGCTCTTTTTTAACGATTGTCCAATTATATTTGTCAGTAAAATCTTCAACATTACCTACATAAAATCATGATATGAATGGATTATATTTATCCTCTTTTTATTAAAGGTTGCAGCACTTTGCACCGGTGTCCAAGATAGTTCCGTTTTGGTTCAGAGGTGCTCTTTGGATTTTCTACTAGTCGGTTTCCCAATGCACAGTAGTTATTTGCAACATAAAGATATGGTGTTGCTTCTTACCGCTGCTCTAGTCACAATTCTTAGGCGGGATATGAGTTTAAACAGGTGATATATGCGTTTCAAATTTTAGTGAGCCTAAAAATATGAGTAATTAGATACAACTATTAATATAATCATTTGATAGACGCTTATTCGCATGGCTCCTGGGAACTGAAGTAAATACATCGATCCTTAAAAAGACGCTGGACTCCACAGCTACAAATATTCCTACAACGTACTTTGACACGTACTCCAAAGAAACATTGATTGATAGCATAAAGTTCACGCTTAGAACGGTAACAGAGGAAAATCCGAAAGACCTGAAGCCATATAAGATATTGAATTCTTTAATGGATAAACTCGACATCGGTCCTGTAATTCTTGACGATATTCTACATGACGTGTTTAGGTAGAATCAAACACGCTAATAAGGACCAGGCAATATCTCAAATACAAGCTAAGCCTCTTCTTTTAATTATGTACGCATGTATATATACATATATTTCATTTTTAGGACTTTCCTAAAAGCATGTGGGCAGTCGGAGAAAAGTCCTAAATCCAACGAAGTAGTGAAGTCGGCGAATCTCTTATTTTCCACTTTGGAGCCGTCTTATGTTTGGACCTATTGCGGATGTTTGTTTGATAAGGCATGTGAGAGAAGAGAAAAAGGTCAGGAAGAAGACCGAGCAAAAACACCTAACTTTTCCGCTCTCCAGGCCGTCGGTAGCGGTTTTCCAGGATTGACGGAAGTCTGTTTACTCACGGAATTTCTTCTAGAAACTGTATCTTTAGATGCTTTCGTGGATACATCTTCTGAACATCTTCCCAGGCTTTTTTATCAGATAATAAATCGAACGTCAGATCTTCTTGACATTTTACAACCTACTGAGATTTTAAAATGTCTCAATCTTTGTAGTCGAATATTATCCAAGGTGCAGCCAACTGTGATTAGTCCTTACACGGACAAATTGTCAGATCCACAGAATAAAATAAATCCGGATGTTAATCAAATTGGATCACAAAATGAAAAGCTACAGGTGTCAACTGCCTTGGAAAAAAGTCAATCCGACAGCAAGTTAAATAAAGCGAAGGATTTGTTGAATAGTACTCCAACTTCTACCGGAAGGAGTCCTAGTCCGAGAAGACGGGCTAATTCCGGTAGCGCGGCTAAAAAAAGTGAGAGGAAATCGAAAAAGAAGATAGCTAGTAAAAGTACGTCGAAGCTAAACGAGAACTATACAATTCAGGCTGATGGTACTAGCATTTCTGTCATAGTAAATGATGAGAAGTCATTGCCACGAAATAAAAGTATGGATGACATAAAAACGAAGCCCAACGAAAAGGATGGTTGTGATTCACCAAGAGATGATCCAATGGCCAAATCTTTATCTGACTCTAATACCATAGGAACATCCAATAGAAGTCCATCTTCTGCGCTTTGGGCCCAACGATCCATTATTGAAAAATGTTTACGACAATACGAATTGTTTTATGTAAAATTAATAAGTAACAGAATTCTCGGTAGGGAAAAAAGAACAGTTTCAGATATGTTTAATGAATTGCGAAATCCTCACCCAAGGGAGACTTTTGATGAGAGAACAAATTATTTGGAACAACTTTTATGCTCAAGACTTAATTCTGAGGTTTCAATTCCCCATTATGAGGACAATGAATTTACCAAACCAGATGGATATGACATTGATATTTCACGTTTTTGCATCGAGTCAGTGTTACTTTCCAACTGGGACGAAGTCCTAAAAGTCTCTTCGACTTTATTCGTCGAATTATCCACGTTTCCGACATACTTCCTTCCTGCCGATGGAATTTTTATCAAAGATGAGCCTGACGACCAGAAAAACGCTATTCTGCCAGACTGGTTGAAGGCTCTGGTAGTCTGTGCTTGTTGGCTTGGAAGACATCCGGCTTTGCAACTCACCAGCATGGCAACATTATTAGATTTGATTGCTCTCTTAAAAACACACACTGAAGTAAAGCCTCACCCTAAAAATGAAGACGGAGTTACGACTGTTGTTATGATGCCTATGCTCAAAGAGTGGCATCTTAACTACTTAATGAAACGTACCAACGTTTTTCAGGTAATAAGGAAATATTAATATTCATAATTAATTAATTTTGTTAACAAAAGGAAAAAAAACTACTTGAATAAATATATTTAACATATGCGCATGTATACATTTAAGATACTGGCGTATTCTTTGTGGTGTCACCTCGGTGAGCTACCAGCCCATAAATTTCGTATGAGATGCGTGGAACTTTTGCATGAGTTGCACCATGCATTGCATAGCTCTTGTGATGCCGTTGAAGACGTAATAGGTTGTGCCTTAACTTACGAAGGTTCAGAGAAAAGGCTCGAAGCATTCTACAGGTTTGCAACCTTATGGCACCTTGGCCGTGACGTGGAAACCAATCCCAGACTTAGGGGTTGTTTGAGGACATTTGACAAGTACAGTGGAAAATCATACTATTGTCACGAATAATGCGGGTGTGCTTATGTTAAATAATGTAATTAACAAAAGTTCTCCCTTAGGTCATTACTGAAAATGTTGGACAACTTGCAGCTCTCTGATAATTCACCGTTAAAACTTCATGCTCAGTCTTGGCTTCTTCATTCTCTAGTCCGGGGAGATATCTCTCGAATTGTCGATCCTGTGTTGACGATCCTTTTGGACCCTTCAACGTGTCGCGTCAGCGTCCTTCACGTAAGCATACAGCACAGCAATACGATCATGACAAGAAACGAACCCATTGAGGACAAATCTGAGATTCAGGACGACGTGGAAGGTGCCGCTAAGATCTATGCCATCAGTTCAGTCGACGGAAACGTAATTTATCACGTTAGCGAGTCCACGGACGATGACTCGAAATTGAAACGCGGCAAGAAGAAAAAGCCCTCCATAAATCCTGTGAAAGTGAAGCGAATCTTCGCCGTAACGACTTTAGCGTCGTGTAATAACGGCATGAATTACGTTACAGAGAGGAACCAGTTTATGAAGGAGCTCGAAGTGCCTGCGAGCATATCCGGCAGTAGGAATTTCTCTGTCTTCGTAAATCCTTTGTCATTAAACTGTAATGCCAATTCGAATGAATCCCTGAACGAAGAAGATTGCTTGGTCGGTGTAAAAAAAACGAGTCTCGGCAGCGATTTGCTGAAAAATGCAACGAGATTTAAAGGCACAATTTTCGATAAGGGCTCGAGCGCTAGCCTCGACGAAAGTCTTTTTGAGTCAGCTACGTCCAGTTCTAAGATCAAGGAAAAAAGTACAACTAAAAAATCTAACGGAGATGCCGAGTCTTCTCTAGACTCTATCACGAATAGCTTCGACTCGAGCAGCCCTGAAGCAGCAGATGGACAAGCCAAATTTCACAAGGACGCAGTCTTATCTGGCAGCTCTAGAGAAATTGCTGGGTGTTTCGTGAGAGGAAGATATCACAGCGCAAATGAATTTTCCACCTCTTATGATATGCATGATACGGTGGGAAGTTTCGAAGCCGCTGCCGAAGTGCCCAGCTGGACCATGGGGGAAGACGAAGGGGATCAAGATCGTAGTACTACTGCTGACGAGCATTTAGGGAATTCGGGAAGCGCTAGCGCTGTCGAAGACGTTCTTAATGAAGTCATGGATAGGGTTATGCTGAAACTTTACGAAATCGAGCCGAATAAAACGGTGAGTCCTTGCTCGTACTTGTTACGATGTATCAGAGATCTATAGTTTACCTTAATTTATCAATCGTACCGTAAGCCATTTTTAATTCAGTGACGTATGTAATTACGTATGAGACACTGATTTTTTACTACATAAGTTTGTTTTTTCTTTAGCTGGATGAATCCATTCGGTCGGACGTAGGAACAAAACGAAATTCCGGCGTTGGAGTTCACAATCTTCATTCGCACATGCTTTTGTATTGTGGCGTGTACGATTCATCCCGAACGCTTTATGCATTGCGAACACTTAGGAACGAATTTTTGACGAATACAAGAATGTTTCTATGCTCCGCTGCAACGACTGGTGTAACGAGTAATGCAAAAAATACTACTTTGCTTCACTTACTGGCTAGACATAGAAAAAGCGTGTTTGGCAGGAGTTTTTTTGGCGACGTAGCCAGCACGGAATTCATAACAGCATACAGAAGCAGTATGTACCTAGAGGTTTTGATCAGTGTGTGCCTTTATTTCGCCAGAAGTTATTACCCTAACTTGGGCCAGATGAGATTAACAAAGGAAGAAATTTCAGGAAACAGGCAGGCAAGTTTCCATATGTAAAATTCTATTTATATCTGAAAGAAATTTTAATTCTTTGACTTTGCCGTTCTTTAAAATATGATTACAAAGGCCTTAATGCAATGCATAAAATAAAATAACATACGTTATATAGTTAGCAAACGTTTCATTTACAGGTTCAATTAGCTAGCTGTGAACTCCTGACTTTAATATTTTCCGAGTTGATTGCAATAGTACGCGATTCGGGAAAAGGATTCAGTTGTTACATAGTCGATTTGTTAGCAAAATGCAAAGTACAGAAAGTGACTCTTCACTGTCTTTTATCCACGGTACTCAATATGAAGACAGTGCAGAGAGAGGGCCACGATGTTTTCACGTTTACAGAAGAAATAGTGTCATTTAATGATCCTGTACCCGAGGGTGACACGAACAAGTGTAAATATCGTTCAAGTGATCACACCGAAGCACTCCAGATCCAATTGTTGAGGTACGCATCATTTATATATTTAAAAAAAAATCCCGAAACGATGGCAACTACATCACTTCAGAACGGGATTACAACTGTTATAGACAAATACACAATATTACGATTAACATGAATACTCTTCCTTTCAAAATTCGTGATGCTTTATCAAATTTATTATGGAAATATCTCTGGTTTTTGTAGACAGCTCGAATCACGGTCGTTAATGCATGACATTATTATACATAGTTTCATTTATTTAACAGGTTACTCTTGGCACTGATAATGTTAGAGCATCAATGTGGGATACAAAAAGGAGATGAAGTTGCTCTTGTTACTCAACAAACCCCACCAACTCCTACAAAATCACCACCGAATCTGACTGGAAATACATTAAAGTATGTGGCCGGTGCACCTATACCTCAACAGCCAATGTTTTTGGCCAGCATTCTTAGTGCTCTGCAATTGGTAATTGAAATAGTAATAATGTTGATATACGTTGAATCTTAGAAAGGATTCCGTAGAAATTTCTTCATATTTTAGGATCACATGAGACACCTGCATCAACACTGGACGACTTTAGTTACATCCAGTCTTCCCTTCATGGAATCATCGTTAACGATTCTCGTTACTTCTGTCATACATCAGCTGTGTTGTAATGTTGAGCACTTAGCCTCGTATTATGTCAGCGAAAGTACAGCCGTAACGTTTAGATTACAAGATATAAGTACTTTGGAATGTTGCTTACCAGCGGATTATACGATCACGCAGTTGGAAGCCCTGACCTTTTTATTGCATTACTGTCTTTTGGACACTTCTCAGCAAATCAGTTTTTCATTTAATCAACCTACGAATGGAACCATTCAAGCAGGTGTCCCTGGGGCAAATCCAGGACAGATATTTAATAATCTAATTCACGTTTTCATGCCGAGCCCATTCTTGCCTGTGAGTATCGTTAACACATATTTTACTTTGTCATCGGTATGAAAAATATAAGTGTGTAATCAATTTCTTCAACAGGAACTCGGTAATCAGAAGGACAAAGGGACCACAAATGAGCAGTACTTGCAAGCTAGAAGATCAGCTCTTAGCCACTTACCTAGAATAATAGCGTCGCTGTCGACACTCTGGCAAGCACTTCATGTCACGAAAGAGAAGTTAGTCTTAAACCATCTCGCAGTTTCTTACAGTATTAAATACCATAATCCATGATACTCTGAATTGGTTATTTTAGAAACGTTCTTGTTACAGCGAGCAACCTAATGGCGTTATCGGCAGTCCCAGAATGGTGAGGCACCAACTCTTGGAACTTCTGTCCCCGATATCTTTCCACCATGGAGTCAACTTCCTCGCTGCTGTAGCTGTGGCTTGGCATGAAAGACGACAACCTTCTCTTAACTCGAAAAAAGTGAGATATCTCCTATTGTTAAGGTGCGATAACAAGAAATCTTAACTAAATGTCACGAATGCAGGTTCTACCGGAAGTTTCTTCGGATCAACAAGTTATGGTAGATTTAGTGAGTGCAATTCGAGTTATGCCCATCGATACTCTAGTGCAAACGGTTCATCAAGTTGTCAAAGCTCCGCCTCCTATTCAAGGCATTAAGCAAGACTTTTCATTGGAAGTCTCCTTGTTGGAGCTGTTATACGTTTATATGCAAAGTAATACTTCTCAGTCACTCGCGGAATCTTGGACATCTTTACATGGCCTGTTGAAAGATGGACTGTCATTGACAGCGCCTGCTCAATTTCTTTTACTAGCTGTCTTGCACGAGTATATACAAAAATGCCCACCGATGTTAGAAAAAAAAGACATTCGAGATTTACAAGACATATCGGCTAAGGTATTTATTATACATTACCGTACATGATATTTTTCGACGCGTTTCAGTGCTTGATATGAAAGAGAAGTGAAGAAAGTATATTTCATTCGTATTCTAGTTGGTAGAGTCATGTTCGCAAATTGCTGGGGCGTGTTTGGAACAGACTAATTGGCTGCGCAGGAATTTGGCTGTTCGAGAAGACGTTTTTGAAGTAGCAGATGGATCCGCCGAAGGTAAAAATAGAATAATCCATCTTTAATGACGGAGTTGTAACGTCAAATAGGAAAAATATTCTATTAAGTTGTTTAGATAGCATTAAAAGGGTTTATCGTAGGAGGAAATATATGAGTTAATATTACTCTTTTACATGAAGAATTTTAAAGTAAAGGTAATTCGCTTTTAGGATCTCCAGGTACTCCGCCGAATGCAGCATACAGTGTTCAAGCGCAAGCTGTACTGGCGGAAATATTGGCACCCTTGTTGGATGTCAGTTACGGATCACAGGAAAAAGAAAGGGTAGTTACTTTGTTGACTAACCTTATGTACAATATCACGCCGTATCTGAAGAATCATACGTAAGCTCCAACACTTATAATCGATGTATAATAAGCTTGCCACGAATTAATCATAATTATATTGCAGAGTAAAAAATATTCCTTCGTTCACTGCCTGCTCACAACTACTTAGTTCGTTATCAGGCTACCAATATACCAGAAAAGCCTGGCGGAAAGACGTCCTCGATTTGTTACTAGATTCTGCATTTTTCCAAATGACCCCCCAGTGCCTACCTCATTGGAGGACAATTATTGATAATCTGATGACGCATGATAATACGACGTTTGGAGATCTTATGAGTAAGTGTGCTTGAAGTAAGTGTAGATTTAATAAGACAGCCGTTCGGAAGAAAAATTGTGCATCTTTGGTAGATCGAGTATCCGTCACTCCAAGCAGCAGTATCAGCTTGTTTTCTTCGAAAGAGCAGGAATACGAACAAAGAGCGCAGCTCTTGAAAAGGCTAGCTTTCGTTATTCTTTGCAGCGAAATGGATCAATACCATAAATACATGCCGACGATTCAAGGTAAATTCCAATCCTTGTTCAAAAGGAAACTTATTTAACAATGCGAAGGTTTAATGCTTCTTTTTTTTTATTTCTATGAACTCTGTCAGAACGTTTGGCGGACAGTTTGCGCTTACCCCAGGTAATTCCATCCATTCAAGCGCAGGTATTTCTATGTTTTCGTGTCCTGCTCCTAAGAATGTCGCCTCAACATGCGACTTCGTTGTGGCCGGTAATTGTTAGCGAATTAGTGCAAGTGTTTTTGCATATAGAACAAGAGTTGAGCACTGATACCGAAGAATTTAGGTGAGTTCAATGGGTTTTCGCTATTTTCACAAACGTGGGATAAAATCTAAAAGGATGCGTGTACCTGTGTTACTTCCCTGTCTTGTGCATGTCAGATTTATTCTTTATAACAAAGGGTTAAAAAATTAATATTCTCATTACTGTCTGAACCAGGATAAGATTTGAATTACGTAAAAATATTTGTGAGGCAAAGTTTAAATAACGAGAAGCGCTTACACAAAGTTGAACAAAAAAGTTGAAAACTTCAAGTTACAAAATTTTAGAAATATAGTCCTTGTAATATTCATTAAATGTATTGAACTTTAGCAAAAGTAAAATCAGTTCATTATTGCAATCAGAGTATTGTTTAGTAATATATAAATTCTTGCACCGCGTATACGAAGATACTTGCTAGACTTCTTCGGAGCTTCTACATTCATTCCTTCAAATTACATCTTTTAAAATATCATGGACCGGTGCTAGAAATTGCTTGAACTTCATTCAAAATAAATCGTGAAAGGATAAATGTATCGTATTTTCTATTTCATTATTTTAACAAACCTCATCAAAACATCGTGCATTTTTTGAGGTCGTCAACATTTTTTTAAAATCGGTGTTTTTGAATCATCAACTAACAAAAAGGACTGTAATAACACGATGCTTTTGGGTCTGTTCCGGTATCTGCAATTTCGTGGGGCATATGATGTTGCTGTCATTTGGTTCGTTGGTGTTGGGATACCAGTCGTCAGAGCAGGTAATTTAACGTTCATTTGATCGTTTTATAGCATGGTATTTGCAGCTAGCATTAATCGATTAAGCTCAATTTTATTTGCTTGGTATGCCATCCGAATTGTGCTTTGTAACTGTACGTGTAATTTAGAAATAATTCGGTTCTGTTTCAACTGAGATATCGCAACTTAAAGAGACTACCGTTAATAATCAATGAAACGTTAAATATTATTGTGATTAATTATAGTCATTATGTTAACAGTTCCCATATAAAGCTTTTATCCGCACTGGATTCATCATGGGCTATAAATGCAAGTAATGGACTTCAAGCACACGGTCATCCACATTGGTTACAGTTGCAACTAGCAGCTGCAAAACTGCTAGATTTGGCTTTGTTGTTGCCCGCAGACAGATTACCTCAATTCCAGATGTAAGTTAGGTTAGCCCAAGAAATCGTTATAGCTTTTGTTATATTTACTAAATTATCTTCATTGTTTCCACATTAAAGGTACAGATGGGCTTTTGTTGGTGATAAAGCGGCAGAGAGCACTGGAGTCGAAAGCAATAATTTATCTTCGGATTTTGTTCCACATATAACAAGGATAGCAAAATTAATGGATTTTAAGGTAAACTATTATTTTATTTGAAATCTTTTACAATTAGTATTAAACTTTGAGGTATCTATTATAGTGGTAAGGCAAGGAAAGTGTGTCATTTTTAGTATCAGGAGGCAACACCTTTGACAAGACCCCCAGGCGAACTTTTGTTGACGTCTGCCGGTATAAGTTCTCTCCAAGATTTACATCCTTTTTTCACCTCTCTGAGCCGCAGAAATGAAGATTGTCAAACACCTGTAAATTTGATTCAGCTGGAAACTGTGATCGAACGAGATTTCCTTGACAAGATGATTAGTGTACCAACAAGATAATAAGAAGAGCGAAGTATTCTTATCACAGAAAGGCCATTTGCATGATCGTCAAAGAAACTCCCACACGACAAATATATTGTTATTTAGGTATTGAAGAAATACCTCGCCATTAACAACACACGTACGCAACTGTATCATATTTAAAATTCAAATATCAATACACTTTGGAATGATACTTACGCTTTATTCGACATTAGTAAACGAAGAAATTCCACTAACCAATACTTTTGGATTTTATTTTCTCATTTCTGTTTTCAAATTATTCTGAGTACTCACAAAAATGTCTAATCACTCTGTACAGCTTGACTATGTAGGTAATGTGGCGAGGTATCAATCTTTGTTATTTTTACGAATACACGTATTCACATATGAGTGTCGTGGCAGACACACCTTTCAGTCATGATTTCTACAAAGACGTTACACTATATATCTATGTNATGTTATACTGCATAAGTTACCTGTAACTGATAACCATTTAATTAATTTTATGTCATATTGGTTAATTGTTTCGACATGAAATGTATTAATAAATTCATCAAATACGCCCGTCATTTTTGATTTTCAGGGTACAGCTATAATCACAATCATAGCAATTATGAAGAAAACGGATTGCTTTCCCTGAAATCAAAGATAACGGCAGAAACAATAATTGCAGAAGCCTAAAATCACACATACACACACATACACACACTGTAGTCTTGTCATGAAAAATATTGAAAATTTAAGAGTCTCTATGTTCCGGAAAACATTTTTTCTTTACACAGGATGGAAGTTTACAAAAATCGTTAGTTTTCTTTTTAAAAAAATATTTTATGAAATCTGCTGCACGTTTCAGTTTAAAAACTTCTAATTACGTCATCTCATTTGGTTGTGATAACTTCCAAACGGTGCCTGGTCCTCTGAGCTGATATTCACTTGAATTAGATTTTGCGATTATTCATATGCGAATGCCCAGTTTGTAATAATGTATGTACATCCTTAGAAATTATTGTAGTCTCGCATCAGCAAAAAACTGATGATATTGTTATTTTTCCTTGTGTCTTCTCGTGTACTTTGGATAGTATGTACAATAATACAAATGCATGATAATTGTTAAGAATAAGGACTGAGTTAGAAACATGATTTATTTAATTTAGCATTTGTTGTTTACCGATTCCTCGGAACTTGATGTGGAACATTGACGTAAACATGTCATACATTGGTATTGAGCTGAGTTTTGAAAATTAGGTAGTTTATCTGTGATCTGGCGAATTAAAAATTTGATTACACTTTCGCGCAAGGTTTAGGGAGGAAACTATTTTTGTACGTAGACGCTAATGAAACTGAGATACATAATGTATTTACCTACGTCTAATACTACCGATATTTTATCAATACACTACAATTCGTGTGGAGCAAGTTCTTGGACTGCTTGAAAGTACACACTGATGATCATTCTGTCGTTCTTCATTAATTAAATTATTTTTTGTGATTTTATATTGAAAATTCTCGTTAATAAAAAAATTGAAATCGTGCTTTTTACCAATTTCAGACCCGCATCTATATATTTAATACCATTAACCCTTAAAATGGTGGGTACTGGACCGTCTGGGAAAAGTCGACGGATCAAGTAGTTGAGACCGCCAAACTTGTTCACAGGCGTGTTCGGACCGGCGGCTTCGCCCAATTCGGGAGCCGAGTCGCGGCCCGGGTTGTGGCTCGGCCGACGGACCGACAGGTGTCCCGGAGAAGCCGCCGTGATGAGCTGTTGCGAACCGTTTAGAGAATGATGAACGTGAGGGACGTATTGTTTGTTACGTTTCGGAATTTAAACCAACGCGGCGCGAAATATTTTTCAATGATCGACGGCATTCTGATTCGTGAAGATGAAGATCAGGTATGGGATAAAGTATACCTAGATAAAAATTGCACTGTTCCTGATTACTCCTCGATCAGCAATCAAGCAATGATATAACAACAACCTCCTCGAGATTGACCATTTCTAGATACTAGAGGTGTGTTTCAAGTTGAGAAATGTATTCAACGATACGAAAGAATGCGTACTTTATTACATCTCTCGTAGCTGGGCGAAATTTATAGGATTACATTTGTCAACAGGATGCTTAATGTTTTTCTTTTCTTACCAGCTCTTCGCGCATAGCAATCTTGACACTTTGTGTAAGCGCTCAAATTTTTAACTATAATGCCATCTACATTTTTCCAACGATCGGCTGTTTTGTATCTAAGATCTGCTGAAACAAACTGTAGTAATATGCTAAAATGTCGTTGCAAGCTAGTAGTGGTTTGAACTGACGTCGTTCCTATCGGTCATTCTGAAGGAAAGACGAAAGAAACCTAACTAATCTATTTGATGTAATGTACAATTAAGTTTTATCTTAGAATAATTTTTTTTTTCGATAAATACTTTGCTGAATTTCATTCAGTTTTGTTTTCGCAATGAATGACATTCGGGACCTAAGAATTATTGTACCATTGAAGCTCTTGGGGATGTTAGATATTTCTAACATATGTTCCGTTTAAATTGATCTCTCGAGCTAGTGGCTGCGATTTTTTTCGGAGGAGGTACAGGGTTTTGGAGTTTTTGTGAGGAGTTTTTCATTTTTTCAGCCGGTTCTCCGGCTGCCCAGATTTGTAACAGGTGGCAAGTGCATTAGCCGTCTGCATCCTCCACTGGAGGTCGAACAGGACGCGGTCGCTCGATCCTTCCCGTGAATCTCTCAACTCATCTCTGATTTGGCAGAGATGAGTTAGGAGATTGCCATAATGGTAAGCCACCACCGTCAACTGCCGCATGGTATTACCATCACGAATACGTGAGCCGCCAACGGCAACTGGTAGATGGTACCGCCATCGCGATTGTGCGAGCTCCTATCAGAAATTCGTTGCGCCGCCCTTGGGGCAAAAAACGGTGAAAGCTAACGTACGAAACCAGAGGGTAGCACAGGATGCGATCACACGATCCTGCCCGTGAGCAATCTCCCAACTCATCTCTGTACATACCTAAATGTGGCCTTTGCTTTTTAATGTAAAAAGAAAAAAGAACCCGAAAGGTTGAAGTTTGCAGCACGAAATGAATGAAATGAAAACAATAATTATCGAGTTCGCATATGAGCAGAAATTAATTTAAAAGCGGTTATATTTCCTTGAACGTAATAGTCATCCTTCTTTTTGATAACAAAGTGAAGTGTCAAGATCTACACGATATTTTAATCACATACACTTAACAATAAAACATTCCTTATGTATGCTAACCGTACAGTCCTTATTTTTAAAAGACATGGTGTTCTTTTGACAGATTTTTGACTTTCACCATACTGACATTTTTTAATTAATCTAACAATGCGTACGATAATCATTATTCGTCATACATCAATTTTGACAAAATTTTGAACAACTTTCACATGGGAAACCGAACCAGATATTAAAATTAAATACAAAATGTATTAACCTGCAAATTAGGATTTTCACGTATTAAAATGAGTGGAAAATGATCCAGGAGATAATACTACGTTAATAAACATCTAAGTTTAATTTTAAGTCACAGAATCCATTCCAAGAGATTACTCGAAAACGAACGTCTTCGGTCGAATAATTAAAAAACGAGCGGTAAGAGCCGGCGCATTCAGTGAAATATACGTTTCGCATAATTAAATAAAAATTAAAGTAGTCCGGTTTATTTAGAATCGACACATTTGACATCCTTGTTGTAGGATCAAGAAGTACATAATTGAGAATTCTCTAGCTTCTACGTACACCTAAAGTGGGACGGGTTGAACGCGTACACACGCATTTGTGACATTTGTAATTTCAGTCCCACAATTTCAAGCCCTCCGAAAGTAATTTAATTTAATTAATTATTTAGAAATGCACTTTAAGTAAGAGAAAATTCATTTAATCGTCTAAGTCTTGTCTTCTAACAGTCTGTTCATAACGCAATACTGAAAAATTACCATTGCTCTTAGAAAAGATACAGGTTCATGCAATATTTACATTAACCATAAGAAAATCGAGCCTCTCGGATATCATCAACGATAATCATTTCTAACGGAAGTTCGATGTTTCAAGTACCATGGATTCGCGTCATATACAAATCGTTCATTAAGAGTGATGTCGCAAATAATTGGAATGGTTGCGTGACAGCCTAAATTCATACCCCGTACATTTTAAGTGTCGCTCTATCGATTATTATCGTACAAACGGCGTCGACCAATCTCGAGTCATTTTGACTCGACGATTGCGTAACAAAATAATAATGAAACTATTGAAACAAGGCATGCGACGAGTATCCGAGACAATTGTCGCATTTACAGATCAGACGAAATTTATTGCCTCAGGTTTTCCCTGTCTCTCTCTCTTCCCCCTTTCCTCACACTCCTTTTGCAACCTCTTCCGTGGACATTCCGGTAAGTTGACATCTTCTGTCAGCCATTAAGTGTCGGGTAGGACAGCTTCAGCACTGGCACATGTCTCCGTATACCGCATTTCACTCGTCGACTTCGGCGGACAACGAGGCGCGAACGCGTAATCGCTCAGATAAAGGAAGGTTATGGCCTGGCTGTTTGCCGACGTGCAATGTTTTGCGAAACCAGTTGGCTAAATAATTTTCGGGGTAATCGTTACTGCCATAAATTAATCGACAACGTTTGCCCAGGCAACACGGCAGGTGTTGGCTTGCCTGCTGCACCCGAGAAACCCGTTCCTCCTAAAGACATTTGAGACATCTGTTGTGGTAGCTGCAAAAAAAAACGAAAAACGTGTAATGACAAACTAATTGGACAATTTTTAATAAAAACATAAGACAGGTACAAGATCAGTCTACATACCTGACTAAGGATGGCAGTACCCTGTTGTTGTTGAGCCAAATTAAAGAAAGGATTGCTACCGGGTGCTGGTTGAAGATTTTGTGTCGCTAGCATTCCGCTCCAACCATTGTTGCTACCGATGTTATTTTGCCCTAACTGAATCATCTGTAAACCGAGATCCACGTATACAGACGATGTGTTCAGAATGTTGTAAAATCATGGTACTAATCACGAAGCTGCCTCACCAATTGTGGAGGAAGTCCAGTTGTTGCATTGGGTAGTCCGTTGATTTGGTTTAATTGACCCATGTGCAAATTAGTACCTATTTGTGCAGCGTGCACCGTGCCCACGGGACCAGGATTTAAGCTAATCTGATTTGGATTCACAGCCATTTGATTCGTTACGGACATGCCCATCGGAGCTGGAATAGGGTGGTTCAACTGCACCATGGAATTTGGTTGGTTTGGAAAGCTATTTGGCTGATTAAACGCCATCATACTTGACATTTGTTGAGCGTATTGTTGTTGCGCAGGTTGCTGCACGTATGATTGCGCTGCAGGTTGTTGGGTGTACATACCGCCTAATGAAAATAATTAAATTATTCCTTATGATTTTATGAATAGGCAATAACTGATTTGACCGATAAATCTCTTTACCAGGAACTCCGAACATGGCCTGTTGACTCGATGAACCATACAGGGCCAAAATACTGTCTTTTGTCATTTTACTTTTCTCTTGAGGCGTTGGGGCGGGCTGATTGAAGAAATTCTCCTCTTCCGTCTTCGTGGCAATGTTGCTGGAACTTGTCCCATTTGTAGAGCTACCCGCTAGTGCCGTAGATGCAGGAGGCGCCGAAAGAAACGAAGAGAAAATATCGTCACCGGAACCAGAACCATTCGCAGTCGTCTGATTCACCGGTGCATCTATTAATTTGAAATAGGTGCATGCCTACTTTAACAACATTCATTTATAATTTTTATTTCATTGTGTATTATGCGACAATTTAAATTACCTAAACCTAAGAGATCCAGGGTGGCAGAGTTGTTGGCCCTATTGGGCTTAGGACTGACAGAACTTCGTGGTTTTGGCAGCTGTGGAACGACTTCTGGTTTCTTCACAGGAGGTAGAGCATTCTGACCAGTGTTTGACTTAGTACCTTCCTTCTTTCGCTTGCGCTGTCTTTCTGCTTCCTCATCTAGTTCTTTATCCCAATTCACCTAGATCACAAAATAATGTACATCAAAAATCACTTATTAGATTAAACCGTAAAAAGCAGATCCTTGTGTGCGACCAACCTTTGGCAGTGGCGGCGGAACCCATTCTCTCGCAATATACTTTTTGTGCTCGTATTTTGCTCGAATGAAACTTTCAAGACTACAATCGGTTTGAGGTCTCCGAAAACTGTCAGGCAGGTTAGCCTCGTAAACTGCCCTAGCCCTTGAATTACCCATCTGTTGAAGACTCTATGGAAAAATGGAATCTTGCATATTAATATACACAGGTTCCTCCTTTAATTACCGGTAATAAAATTAGCAGTATCTTTTTTCCATCAAACTTACCACCACTTGTTCAGGTGTCCATGCATCTAAATTGACTGACTTGACCTTGCTTATGTGAACTCCAAGATTTCTGTGTATACCCGCGCAACGAATGCACAGAAATATGCCCAAATTCCAACTTGCCCATCTCGGCCCTATGATGAAAAGCAATGAATTTACCGTTTATTCTCATACTCTGCATACAAAACTGAATAAAAATTACCATACATTAAGTGACAACTAGTAACGTATTAGCTGAGTGTGAGGTGATAAAACGGACTTTGGAGCTATCATCGTAAAAAATCGACATAATTCAGCATTGAACAGCCTTTATGCCACATGGGCTACATGTCATTGTGTTAAAATATTGAAAAATGGAATCCCACTTCCTGCAAGATTTTTAACCTGCACGGCATTTTTCAATAACAGCTCCAAAAGGTGTAAGCTAAATGCTCCACAGAGTGCAGAGAACCTGTCGAGAATTGTAATTGAAAGAGAATTGGGTCGTGATGCCGTCTCGGAATCGATACGTCAAGACCGAGAAGACCCGCCGTGGGGCGATCAGGGTCAGCTCGACGAATCCGGACACCCGGACGACCCGGTCAAGGAGGCGTTCCCAAGAAGCGTGGCAGGACGAACCTTTTGCATCGCAATCAACGCAGTACTTATTGTCCTCGTCGCGAAGCATTTGAGTCAGGAGTGTCTGGCACTTGTCCTGGATCTGCTTGGCACGTTCCTTCTCGTGGCGCGACGTCATCTTTACGAGGAAGCGGACTCGACTTCGGCGAGGACGAGCCACCGTTGAAGAGTTGAGATGTCGGTCACGCACCGTCCGGGAAACCTCGACGCGGAGGCGCGATCGAGATGTACGGCCGAGCGGGCGACACAATGGCCACGACAACGAAAACGCCCCGACGCGAGCGACTCGCACGACTCGCCAAACGCGCAGCAACGGAAGCGTCACGGACAAGGCTTGACAGGGGTTCGGGGTGAAATCGCGGAATTGGAGAACAGCGACAGAGCGACAGAGACCCACCCCCAGGTCTAACCGCTGACACCTGCTGGTCGTACATCGAACCCAGTCCACGTTCAGTATGGACATACTCCTTGTTTCTCTGCCCGGTGCAAACATGGAGAACCTCATACGTGTTACGTTGTCCGAATCGGGTATTGTGTGCAATATAATGAGTAAAGTTAATATAAAAGTATAGTAATTTATTAACAAATTACAGCTTATGAGATGAAAAGAACACAATATGTGAGAAAGACTACAGCAAGTCTTTCTTGTGGTTTAAGCAGTATGATTAATTTTTTCCTCTGTAGGATTATATTCTTCTGCGTTTAGGTGGTGGAGTATCCCGAGGACTAGAAGAAGCTTTGGATGTACTGTCTATACTTTGCCTCGTTGGCCTTTTTGGGACTCGTTTCAGGCCTTCTCGAATCGCATCGGAAGAATCTTTACGTTCCTTTTTTCCTATCGATCCTTGAAAAGAATTTATGCATGTGAATTAGATATAAATTTGCTGCATTTGAGGAAAATGACTATGAACATGTAGGTAATACCTGGTTCCTCCACGTCATCCTTTCCTTTGGGTCGTCCTTTCATTGGTTTAATATCCTTTTTCACGTCCTTCACGTCACGCTGCTTTTCTTTTTTAATCTCAGGCTCCTTGATGGACTTCTTAATTTCCTCCTTTTTCTTTTCAGCTTCTTTGATCCCTTTAAAATCTCTGAGAATATTATCCTTTTTCACCATGTCTTTAATGTCTTTGTCCTTTTTGATTTCTTTGACTTTTTCTTTTAAGTCTTTACCTTTGACATCTGGTTCTTCTTTTTTACGCGACTTGATAAATCCTGAGAATTCCAATTCTGGTAATGTGAAATCTATCTCGCTACTTGGAAAGGGCAAATCTTCGGTGTCGTCCTGTGCAATAAAAGTATTGTTATACATTCCAAATTCGTAAATTATACATAATAAAGATGTATCTCGACATGAAATCGGAATACTTGCCAAAGCCATTAAGTCGTACATAGATTCCAAATGGTCCCAGATCATCTTCAAAGAAATCTCCTTGTGAATAGCTGCACGAAATTTCTCCCAGATGCAGACCATGTGAAAATATTTGTTGATACCTTAACAGAACAATTATTTGTTTCCCATCATAACCTCAACTCTATGCATTTATAGTTGAAATTTTTTATTTAAATGTATGAGGTTAAATTCTAACCAACAGGTTTGTGGCCATTCATGGCGAAAAATAGTTGGATTTCATTTTCTACATTCCACTCGATTTCTTCTGAAAGATCCGCCGGTTTTTCTTTGACAGACATTGTTTAAACGAACGACTAATGTTGCCGATGGAAATGTCATTCAATACTCCGTAAAAGAGTTTGATTTCACTCTCCAAGATGGCGCTACAAACGCAATCAAGCTTTTACGAATTTCCAACTTTTATCATCGGACGGTGTATGATCCGCAACTGTTGGTAGAATCTGTAAAAATGATGAAAACTGTTTTGCAAATGATTACCGATCAGTGCTGCCACCGGGTGTGACTTTTACATGTTCGTCAAAGATAAGCTCTTCAACGTTGTATTTGGCGTGCACATATCTCTAAGTAAACATGGCGGCTGCATTGACAGTACCTTTTATGTGACTTCAACTGTTCGACATACTGGAACAGAACTGATCTCCATCACTTAAAACATTGTTAGTATCGGAACATTTCATAACGGATATGCCCCCAAAATTTCGGCGGAGCATGTCCAGAGACGATTTGAGAAATGCCGAGGACGTGGAAAAGGTGAGATGGCGAGTTTCACCGCTGATTGTCAACTATTTTCTTGGTACTCGATTATCGCGAGTGATTTCTCGCAGATGACATATTTTCGTGGGAAGTGTTTTTTGTATGAAAGTTCATGTCGACGTCATCATATCATTGTTAACAGGAAACTTCTTACTGACACAAACCGCTTGAGACTGAGTCGGTTAGTGCATTTTTGTTAATATTACACAGAGTAATAATATTATCTTTTGTATGGAGAATATCTTGCATTACAATGCTTTCATGTTCGGCATAGATAAAAGATGAAGGAAGCATCATCATTTGCGTTAATATTTTGGACAATCAGTCTTTTTTTGTAGCTTATTACGAATATTATATTTTTTTACAGGAATCCCTTTTGGATCATGACAGCGAGCCAGACGAGGATATGCTTTTTAAGTATGTGATATTATTGGCTTTTACCATTTGTTACCTCAGTTGTTAAGGCTCATTATTTAACAGATAATACTTTTACATATATGCAGATAATGCATGTGCCAGGTGTAATACAGTCTGCCATTCTAATAAGACTGCTTATTTATTCACAGCCGGCCCAGCACATCCATTGCAGAAGTACATACAAACAGTAGAATACATAGGTAACTTGATCATGTAGAGTTTTGTTAATTAAAGTATTTAAAATTTAAACCGTGGCAATAAGTGAAACCTGTACAAATGAGTAGGGAAATAAATCTGGTCCTGTATTGTACACTGCTGAATTGAATATGGTGGAAACCCCACAAGTTTATATTTATGATAATTAATAAATTCTAACGATCAGAAAAAATTAATTTTATATTTTCAAGGATTTTACAATTGTACCACAATTGTCCTTACAGTCAGATCGGGCAGTTAAATCTATCATGTTCTTCGGTGAATATTCGTTCAGGGATATTTGATTGAACAATGACTGTTAATGTTTTAGTGTCAAAATACAAATTCAAGAGGTGACGGATGCAATGCGAGAGAATGTAAAGAAGGTAATGGAGCGAGGGGAAAAAATCGAGGATCTTCAGGAAGCGAGTGATCGTCTTTCGTTGGCTGGAAATGAATTTCGAGAGGCTGCGAGACGAGCACATCGCAAAGCTTGGATGCAGAACGTGAAGTCCAGAATCATCGTCATTGGGATCACGGTCACAGTTGTCCTGTGTATTGTCGGTAAGGCCGAATGTGTCAACACCTGATTAGGCACTTCAGTTTGAAAAAAAGATATGTGCAATCTTTGAACGTGCCTGCGCCTGTTTACGCACTTCCTATTCAGGGAATAACGAATAATCTCTGAACCACCTGAAGCCACTGTAAATGCTTATTTGATTCTGAGAGTTAGCACGAAATTATTTTCGAAGATTGCGTTACGTTTTCCTGGGCTGTAAAATTGTTGACACTTTTTTAAGCTTGTATAAAAAGAAAATAACGTAGGAAAATTAGAAGAAAACGTAAAGAAAAATGAAATGTGAATGGTATCAACATGTCGCCAAATGATGTTAGGTCAATCCCTTCTGCGTCTGGCACCGATTTTAATTTTATCATTAGTTTCGCACTTTTTATCGATCATTTAAAAAATTATACATCCTCGTTTCCGGTCGTGTTTTGTCATGACACCTTTTTGTTAGATTGGCGTATATCATTTTCAGTTCTGGACATCGTGGTGCTTTACTTGGTTCTCAGATAACAAGCGCGGACTAGCGAAGCATTCGATATAGGGAGCTGAAGGTACTTGAGTTCTTATCATTTTCGAATTTCCAATATTTTACCCGCAAGGTCCGGAGCAGTAAACAGGACTAGGACAAAAACGTTTCTGTGGTCGATTGATAAGAGTTGGCTGCTAGTAGGTGATCAAATGTTTCGGTGTCCAAATCAGAAAATTGTTTTAAGGGTCGTCTTCTTAGATCTCATCGCATCTCATTTAAAGTGGAATAGATTATAATATAAATTTTCATTTAAATGGATGCACAAAGAAAAAGGTTACATTCATCGATGAAAGTCCGGTTTACTGCATGTGCATGCAACATCCTAGCTTCCACATAATCACACATTGCTACTTAGTGCTTTCGGTATTCCTCACGTTAAATGATAATTTTAATACGAGTTATGTAGCGATGTAGGAAACGTGACGGGTGTCACACGTGTATAAGTGTATGTATAAATTTGTGGTGTAACATAAACGGGAGTATCTACAGTCTAGATTTAGCTTTCACATAGGTTAACGTTCAAACCTGGAATCGTCCTTTTTAAAATATTTCATCCCTGTACGATCTCAGCCTCGAGTATTAATTTTGTCCCCAAATGTGTTCAGTACCCAATTGTGCCAATTTTTGGCGGTCATTCTCTTCGCGTTGTCTGTCGCTCAGAAATCTCCATAAATTGGACAGTTGCAGTCTGAATATAATACTTAGCATTCCTTAACGCTAGTGTTTATTTTTCAGTGTCCATTGTCGTGAAGTATTCGTGACCTGCTAGTTCATCGGATATATCGAAAAACGAAAACTCCACAACTAATGTAACACAAATGTGTGAACCAGCTTTAACAGTTTCATCGTACCTCTTGTAATTAACGAGTGATTTGTAAGATCCACGCAGATGTAGAGGAATATTTTTAATTACAGAATTCCATATCTCCCGTGGTTTCTTAATCACCTTAAGACTTTTTGAAGAAAAATCAGAGAAGTAACTTGTGAATTTTTCACTGAATTTAAGATAATCGAAGCGGATACGGAGTTGACTTTTCATATATATTTTAATATTGAAACCAATGGTATGGCTGTAAGATATATATATGAATGTTATATCAAGTATTACGTAAACAATATAATCCTGGAATGTTCTGTGAGAGTTGTACATTCAACACTTTGTACATAATTGCATGATTTTTTGCGATCAGGAAATATAATATTTTGTAATAACCAGTAGTGGTAAACCTATGAACATGTTAGCTTATAAGAAACAACATGGCGGTATTTAATTTAGAGTTATTAAATATTGAGTTACTTTTCGTTATTCAAAGGTGACAGTTGTTCATTAATTGCGATGCCCTTTCCACCAAACATCAACACGTCTTCGTTAGTTTCGGTAATTCTTAAACTTTTTAAAGTAACTGAACATCATTTTAAAATATGCGATGCGGTGACGAGCGCGTCTAACATCAGCTCCGTAAACTAATTCGATCACCTGAAAGGGGTTACGAAAGGATTGATCAGCTTATCGTTAATAGTTATTTTTAATAAAAATGTGGGTTCCTAACATTTGTGAAATTAAACATGTACGGTTCCTCGTTCATATTTGTTCGCATCATGAATAACTGTTGCGAATGCCCTCCACTGTTCGTTAGCATGTCCATGACAATTAACATTTTTCGATTACGATACCGATATACATTCTCCCCAATGCTTTTGGATTCGTATCTGAAAATGATGTTCAACCAGTCCTAAGTGAGGGAAAGTATTAAAAATATTTTAGGGACTTTATATAGATAAATTAATACCCGTAATAATTGTCTGAAAGAGTCGGGAGTCCAAGAAGCCTTTCCGCAAAGAAGGCTGTAGATCCGATCCAAAATAATGGCGGATGATATGCAGCCACTGCCTTAAGCAGATTCGGTCTTTTCAGCATCATCAGAATCGCGACCATTCCGCCGTATTGTTCTCCTTGTATGAAGACGTTGTTGCGATCAATGAATGAAAATTTGTCGATCAACCACTTAAGAACCTCCAGCTGATCGTCCACTTCCGGTTCACCGATGTTTTTGTAGAGCTCCGACTCGAATTCGTAACCTTGATAACCCGAACCCCTCACATCCGTCATTAGATAAATGTAATGCTCCGTTACAGCAGCATAGGATTCTATCATAAGAAAATACATCGATCGGTGAGAAGTCTGTGGTCGATTACCATTTTCAAAAGAAATATCAGGCGGTAGTGATTCATCATGTAATTAGCAATTATACGTAATGATGAAGCGTGGCTTTTCCGTGTACGTGCCTTACCTATGTCAAGTTTCCATTCTGCGTTGACCATTTGCGATCCGATACTAGCATCCACTCCCATGATTAAAGGATACTTAGATTTTGGATCGAAATTTGGTGGGAGGATTAATTTAATTCTTGCCTTGTATTTATTACCGGCAATTGGGCATTCGTAGTATCGAAATTTCGGTAAAATCAGGTTTTGAAGACCTTCATATTCCGGCTTTCGAGTGTCTATCGTTTTTAATATTCTGTTGGTCCTAGCGTGTACTATGTGTGTCTCGGGCATTTTAGTCATGTCTAATGTTGTAAACAAATATTTTCAGGGGATATAAAATTAATACTAATTGGTTGAACATACCGTATCCGTCCAGACAGTCCAGAAGGTAGTGAGTCCCTTTTGGGGAAAAAGTTGCGTATGCAAAAGGACAGGCTGGCTTTGCAATGTCGCTCCTTTTTACTTTATTATTGGAACATGTTAAACAGTAACTCCTGCTACGTCTTGAATGACTTATATATAATCGAAATAGATATCGCTCTCCGAGATTTGAAAATAGCGTCGCGATGTAGTAAACGGTCTGAAAAGTATCATCATTAATTTATCTCTTGCAGTAATTTCCAACAGAAAAATTGATACCAAATATTGCTTGGATAAGTGGTTTTCGTTACTTCGATATTTTTGTCCCAATGAACTAGCTCGGAGACCCAGGAATTAAATGTCACTGGATGAACCGTTTGTCTTTTGACATCAATAGACACCAGTCGCGACGTTTTTCCATGGGGAATTATGGTGAGGAGCTTTTGGCCGTCGTTAAATCCTGCCCCGAGTACATCGCTGTATTTATCTCGACTTCCCCAATTATTCGTCCAAAGTAATGAGCATTTCTTGGCTTGAAAAGAATGATTGTCGTCGTTATTGGGAGAAGAATTCGTATCACGGTTTTGAGGTCAGAGACATTTTTTTGATAAGACGTGCTCAACGGAGCTCTTGCTGAAAGCTGTTTTACACATTTCGTAGTACTCTAAAATAGACTACTATTTTATTTTTCTCTCGAAATAAAATTTCGAGAGATAATCCTTACCGAATTCTGGACAGGACAGGTACCAGGTCTTTGTAAAGTCTCTACTTGTAATTACGATGGTGGAATAATTTTCGTGCCATTGGCAACCCATGAAATAGGACCGTTTTTCGACATTATCAGGAAGTTCAGCCATCGTGGCCTCGTTGGTAACTTTACCTAACAAAAGTACCACCATTTTTAGATCGTCCAATCGCAGTATAATGCTTCTGAAGAAATTTCTTTTAAATCAATATTCAATTTATTTGATCTTTACCTTGGCCGATCTTGAACACGTGGATGGAAATGATCGAAATGTTTTGGATATTCGGCTTCATGAGAACAGCACCGATCGATTTCCTATCCATAATGTAAGTATGTTCGTGGCTGTAAGGACCATCTGACATGTCGTAACAAACATACCTGAGGAACGTTCATTATTGGTCAAGTTCAACATTGAATCGGGTGTTCTAACGTGCAGCCATAGTTGTTCCGTGGTACTGAACTTTCTTCCGCACTGTAAGCACCAGATTCACTTACAGGCAGACATTGTTACCGTTGATGAAAATGGGGTAATGCTTGTCGTAATCCCTTCCAAAGTTGATGTAATTTTCGACGTTTGTGTCCTGCACGCCGCAAAATCTGCGAGGGGCAACGACTTCCTTATTTCCTTCCTTCGAGTTTCCGGGATTTGCAGTCGGTTACAACTATCGTACAAATGTTTACGTTTATCCTTGATTATGGTCTCGTGTTCTCCCTCGTTCTGGATCATGATTCGGAAATTGTCATCTTTTATCTGTACGGCAGCAACGAAGCAACTTTGTCCGTAGCATAGATGAGGTTGACCGATTTCTCGAGGCAGCTATCGCAAGGAAATTCTCTCTTAATACTTACGTAACACTTATCTCGAAGACGCGATAGTTAAAAAGTCAATCAGGAGTATAAATACATTGATACGTCAAGTGACATAAATAATTGGGCGTATTATTACGATGCAGATAATTCAAATCACCCAGGCACCACTCATTTAATAATTTGTTACGAGTTGATAAAATGTCCATTTCTCCACGATAGCGAGGATCATACGGACTTAACCGATAGTTCGAAAGAAAAATATATTGCAAATTAACTACACGTGCGGCAAATAACTACTTTTTTCGGATTTGCTCCTGTTCGAGCATAGGGCCCAAAAATGGTACGTTCTGTCAAGTACGACGTTTTGGTATCCCTGCCCATATTCCACGAAATTACTTTGAGGTCTGGTAATCCAAAAATTCTGGTGCTACATTCCGGAGAGTAATACGTAATTTCGTTTTTCGTCATCATTGTCTGCTCTTTGTACATAAGATCTCGAAACGTAATCATCTTCACCTGGAGGAAAATTTTTTTCTCTGGTTGGTACAACCGTGTTAGGAATCTCTCGAGGATCGGGGTGAACGTGAAAAATAATTTATTCTTACATCGGAGCGACATGCCGGCGTGTAAATGAACACGTCGTCAGTGGCCCATGTTCCTCGCCAGTATCGCATTTTTGAATACTTCAACAAGTCTTCGTAAGTTAAGTTGCGATTTTCGATAACGTCTTTTAGCTTCCTCGACGCATCGTAATCGCTGCTCTTCGTGATCAGAAGTAGAATCGCCATTCCTATCACGGCCAAAATCGCGACCGAAAGGAGAAGATTAAGTGCCCGTTTCCAAAATCGTTCGATCGTATTCACCACGACGATTTCTTTATGAGGACATTGCCAATTAGGATCTTTCCAACGACGTCGCAAAACGTTCATTTTCGTAAGGACCGCGAGCTGATTTTGACTCGAAGAGGTTCTCTAATTATTAATCTCGTGACGTTCGACAAATTATGTGACAAAAGAGGAAGGAATCGAAGAAAATCGCAATCCACTCGAGGCGGCATGGAAATTCTAAAAGAACCTGCGGAAACGCGATGCTTAATGCGATATTGCGAAAAAAATCAACCGGTCATAGGTGGTCCGGATATCACGTGGTAAGATTTTTTTTACGGCAACGAGTTCATTCGAATATTTATCGTCGTTGAAGTCATTGGACTGCTGTTCTTCGGGGTTATCGAACCGCCGTCGATTTTTTCCTCTTCGCAGACAGCGCTATCAATTCCTTCCTCGATTGATTAGATACACTGACAATTTTAATTGCTGGATTAACATACACTGATTTCAAATTGGTCTGACTCGATAAAAAAAAATATATATATTTTTTAATAAAGGCAGCGTTTGAATGGTCACGGAAGTGGCATCGCCGGTCGAAGTTCACGACCGCTCCGTGTCTCTCAGGCTGACCCATCGAGTCAGCCGTTGATTTTTTTTCAACTCCACGTATCCGGTGTCAACGAAACGCTGGTAAACCCGAGAAGTTCATTAGCGCGATAATTTATTGAGAATGAGACAGCACGGGGAATTGCACTACCGCAAGCATCGACCGATCGATCGGAAGCCGAAAGTTCGGAAGGTCGACCGGTAGGTTAAAAAATCCTTGTTATCGAGTCCTTGATATTCAGAAAACGATCCCCGGTTATTCTTTAAGTACCTTAAGGTGGCCAGAATTTAAAAATACAAGGTTATCCAACCGCCTTAGGTACCCCTACAATAAGAGCATCGTCATCGGATCACGATTGCCAGGTTTGGTGGGTGGCTCGAAATCCGACGAAGCCGCCTTATCTCTCTCCATGTGGTTCCGATTCGGATGCGCCGCGACGCAGGGTCACGGTGACGCCATGATCGGCGAGTCTAAAGGTTGGGCCGGCCGATAGTGCTTATCGGACAGCGCGGGTCCCGCCAGGCTACGCCAGTGGCCGCGCAGTCAATGGCGGCGGACGTGGACGCGAGCGCGCTCCCGCGCGGTCCCGGGCGCTCCCGGACGCTCCCGACCGGGAGAATCCCGAGCGGCCGGCTCGGCGGGACTCGGGCGACCTCGGGGCCGGCAGTATCGCTCGAGTCGCTCGTGGCGTCGCTCCATGCCGAGCGTTGCGGTCGTCCGTTCCGGCCCTCAGGCGCAGCCAATCGCGAGGAAGCGCGAGTCGACGTTGGGTCCCGCGGGGTGTGGTGCGCACGCTCGACATGCCCGATCTGCAGCAGGTCATCTTCTCCGCTGCGGCGCTCCTCTTCGGGGCAGCCCTGCTCACCGGCAACCGGTGGAAGATCCTGTACGTCCTGTGCAGAACCCTGCCCAGGGACGTCCTGTAAGTTCCCCCGTAATCTTCGAATTCCTAACCTTGCCCTTGAGGGAGCGCGATATCTGGATATCTCGTTTCCTGTATCACGAAGGTCTACCCGAGAGTCTTCTTTATCAATACTGGAAGAGACCAGGTATATAAGGTCTGGTAGATAAAGTTACGTGTACTCAGACCGCATGAATTTCTTCTGGAATTATTCAGCCTCCGTTACAGGCTCCAGGATGTAATTTCTTGGTTTCCGGGGTGTATGTATCCGACGCAAACGTCGAGGATTCATATTTTTAACTTTTATGCCCGTGCTGACGGATGGACTCCTCGTGGACCCTTGCTATTGTGGAAATTTATGCACACTGTCAGGCAATTCGCTGGAGGACACCTTGGACAAAGCGGCGAAAGAGGATTAATGATCGACAGATGCCTCCATTTTGTCCGCGGTTCGGTCCATGCTGTGTCATTTTTTTTTTTTGGAACGGTTTGTATCGAATTTCTGTTTCCGTTTGAGTCTAGGATAGTCGATCGGGGGTTTAGAAGGGTATTGGAATTATTCCGTCTGAAGGACCGGGAAGACGGAAAGAGGAGCAAGGGATCGAGGCATGAACGGAATGGCGACCGGTGTTGTGTACACCGAGGAGACTCGACATACGACTCGAGGTGTAATTTATCGTGTTTATGTCATACACAAGGGCTCTCGTGAATAATCCTCGACTCATAATATTCTGGGTCGCAGGGCGTTACTCCCGCCGGTATTCAAATTCATATTTCGACGATGAATTCATCGTTGGACGTCGAAACGTTCATTAGTGAATATCAGGAAAAATTGATAACAGAGAAATGAGCCGGAGGAAAATGTCCTTAATGGAATCTCGGTTGAGGATATTCTCACTTTTGAAAGCGCGTAGAAATTAATTGCACGACGTCGCGTACGAGTCTTTTAACGAGAGTAGTTCCGCGGTCGAGGTAGAGAGAAAGCTGAAAGAGAAAGAAAAAGAGTATCGGTAGAAAGTGTCACGCCGAACTTTGGTCCATGCGTGATAACGATGATTATGCAACATCTTGGAAGGAGTGTCATCAGATATGTCACCTTACTGTGATAAGTGACCCTTTTTTCCCCGATTCTCCCGAATTCCGGGAGTGCGTTGAATGATCCTCGCAGAGTCGTTATTAAACTAATCAAGGATTATCTAAGAGAAACATCGGCATCATTGTTGCTTATCAGATTGGTAAAATGGAGCAAAATTTATGAGTACCGCGGTGGTAATATGAAAGACCACTCCAGACTTGTATAATGACATTCGTAATGAGCATGAGACGTCGTCGATTTTATTATTTTATTATTTTATTATTCTATTATTCTATTACGCCCTCAGTGGGCGTTAATGACAAAAGTGACGAAAACCGAATTTACACGGTTACGAAACAGGCAAATTCCCGTCGGTCGACCATGGCGACGAAAAATCACGTGGTCGTTCGGTGCAGCTGATTTCTTTATGGCTGAGATTTTATAATGGTCCATTATCCACTGCGCAATATGCAGCGTCGGGCGGAAATTTGCATACATCTTCACGTGCGAGAGTATCTCACGTGCGTGTGAACGTATGCACTACGATACGAAAAAATATTCATGAATGGGTGTAAACCGTGAATGGATGTAAACGAGCAGAGTCCCACGTGGACAGATGATAAACGAGTTGACTCAAGGAAAAAATTATTAAAAAGGGGAGGTAAAAATATTGGGTGGGGAGAGAATTTCTCTTTTAGCGACTTTCATAGGGGCATTCTTTTTAACGAACTTTCTCCTCGATGCACGTCGTTTTCCGCTCCGCGGAGCACAACCTTGACCAACATGGATACATGTACCTAGGCATAAATGACCTCTATGGATCGTGGAATCGAATTCGACCGGCGTCGAATTTCTTGCCGACCGTTTGTCGAGCCATCGTCGAGCCTATTGCGATCCGTTCAATGACATTTTCCATTTGGCGCTAATTGCGCGGCGTTAAGTGCACTCGCGATGATCATTCTCGCGATTTCGACGAATGTGTCGCTCGGGATCGGGTACTCTCTTGATAATACGTTTGATAATATGACTCTAGAGGTACCGTGAATCGAATGCATGGAACGTACTTGGAGCAAACTTAATACGCTCAACGACGTTGGATTGAACGTAACGGGTGAGTACCGCGGCTAGCTCGTTTGCCCGATTTAATGGATGTCTTTTTGTCGAGGAAATGAAAATCAGATATCCATCGCGGTACCGGCCTGCGGGATAAAATCTGACATCTTATTTGCAATTGCACCGGATGCCCATGACAGAGTTTCGGAATTCTTATAATAGTACTCTTCGGGTCTGAGGACGTCGCGTCGTGGAAAAAGGTTCTCCAGGCTGAGGAATTTTTCTTTTTTTATTAACCCGAGTCAATCGTTTCATTATTTTCCAAGATTCGTTAATTGAGGACAGATGACTGGACCTTCGAGATTCCAACAATGGGAAGCATTGAAATATCCTGTGGTCGTTGTCGGTCGCGGATTGTTAATGAGGTACAGAGTTATGTGGAGTAATGATCTCATAACGATTAGAATCTACTTTGACCCTGGGTCGTTATTTGACGTTCATAGGTCTGCCTTAAGCAGCGAATTATGCATTCAAACCGGGGGTGGACGCGATGAACACCTGTCGTCGGTTCTTCGGCAATTTGCATTAAAAAAGAATAAGTAGTTCGAATAAGCCCGGTTCCTCTTTATCAGGGAGACGTTGACGAGTTGAACCCTTTGTCGCCTTAATTCACCACGAAATGGGAACTCAGTATTTTTCCCCGTTTATTTTTTTTTTGCCGAGAACTATATTCTCCACTCGGCATATAACGAGCCGGAAATATTTTCCGACTCATCGGAAAGGAAGAATCAACTTTGACCTCCTTTGTTCCGTAATGCTAGATTTATTCGGAAATGTCAATTGCAACGTTATCGCGCGACGATGACATTTGTAGGTTACGTGCAGAATCTGTTGCACGTGCATCGTGGCCTGCAATCAGCTGGCGCAGTGGTGCACATTTTCGAGAGCGACAGAGGTACTCATTTTGGCGCCAGCTACAGGTGGTTTGTTAACTATCTCTTGTACGGAGATTAATGTATAAGTAGAGAGCCTAGGATTCCCGTTGCTTCGACGGTCTAGATATACTATGATGCCTAGGAGAGTAACGAGTGATAAGTCAAGATGGGAAAATTATATGTTGGCAGTCGGCGGATTTTTCAACCTCGATAATTAAATTGGATGCACAGGTGATTTACATGTTAATCGGGGCACCTACGCGTAGGTGCGAGGTCGAAAAAGAAAATCGTCAGCGATTTGATTAAGAAATAAATTATTAACCGGGTGAAATTTGCGCGACACACGAATTAGGCGGTACGGGTGTAAACGCAAACGTCGCGTAATGGAGTATTTCTGAGACGACTTGTTAAGGCGGTGGCGCGAAGCGGCTCAAATAATGAGAGCGAGAGAGAGAGGTTTTCAACTTGTGTCAGAAGTCACGCGCCATGACGAGCCCGGCATTAACCAATTTATTACAAGAGAGGAGGATGTTGCAAGGGTCCGGCTGCAGATGTTACGGACGTAGAATAACACACGCGACTGATTTTCGGTGGCTCCGAAATCCGAGGTCCTCCTTATCCCTTTGGGCGGGAATAAAAATCTAGGCACGAAAGGTCCCACCTGCCATATCTTGACGTAAATTGCATATTTCGTTTCAGTGGGGCATTCCGATTTCTGAAAGTTAACGTCCTGTTATGGTGGTGGGAGACGCGCGGTTACACCGTGGCGAGGGTCTTCTCGAAACTCGTCGCCACTCATCCCGACAAAGTCGCCTTCATCTTCGAGGACAAGGAATGGACTTACCAACAGGTACCGGATTTATCAACATATGTCATGTATGGGTTTTTAAGACCACCGATGAATTTTTCTTTAGCTGGAGGAATTCAGCAACCGCATGGGCCGCTACTTCCGGACGAGAAAATTGTCCCGGGGGGACAGCATCGCGCTCATGATGGAAAGTCGACCCGAATATGTCGGGACTTGGCTGGGTCTGAGCAAGGCCGGTTATGTTGCCGCTTTCATTAACACGAATCTACGCCATGGTGTCCTGCTGCACAGCATCCACGCAGCTGGATGTAAGGCCATCATTTACAGTACCGAGTTCAAAGATGGTAGGTGGTGCATGCATTCAACACCGGGAACTCCTTGAATAGGAGTTTTTTTTTTTTTTTACCACCAGAGTAGACGATGTCATTTTTATATGAAATTTCTAGCGATCGATGAAATCAGAGACAAGGTGCCCAACATGGGGCTCTATCAATGGTCCGAATTCCCGGATTCGTCGATCCTGGATGGCGCGATAAATCTCAACACGGCGGTCAGCACGATCCAGGCTGATCCTCTGGTGGTCGACATGGCTATTGGAAGTCCCCGGGACAAATTGATCTACATTTACACGTCCGGGACCACCGGCATGCCCAAGGCTGCCGTTATTAATAATCTCAGGTAAATAAAGCGCGGCCGCTGTCAATGCCAAATTAATTTCTACCGTGTATTCAAATCTCTAGGTTCATGCTGATAGCCTGTGGCATCAAGGCGATGCTGGGTCTGCGTTCCACGGATCGCATTTATGATTCCCTGCCGTTGTATCATACGGCTGGTGGGGTTCTTGGCGTAGGTCAGGCACTGCTCTTAGGAATTCCGGTGGTGCTTCGAAGGCGGTTCAGTGCGTCCAAATTCTGGGAGGACTGCGTCCACTATGACTGCACGGTGAATTTATTTCTTTACCTTTTACAACGGATCACGGTTTGTACGGACTCGCTATGTGAACATCAACTTTGGCTTTTTGGTCAACAGGCTGCACAGTATATTGGCGAGATTTGTCGATATTTATTGACCGTTCCACCTGGTCCATACGATAAGGCGCACCGGGTTAGAATGATGTTCGGAAACGGATTGAGACCTCAAATTTGGAAGGCTTTTGTTGACAGATTTGGGGTTAAACAAATAGGCGAATTCTACGGTGCGACGGAAGGAAATTCTAATTTAGGTAAGCCCTTAAAAGCGTTGAGTCGAGGAGAATGACTGAGCACAACTTTTGTTGTATCTGGCACGCTGCAAGGGATAAATGAAATCTTTTTGTTAATTTAATCGTTGTTATATCGTAGTCAATATAGACAACAGAGTAGGAGCGGTTGGTTTCGTTCCTCGATGTGCCGGGGCTCTGTATCCGGTTGCATTATTAAGAGTAGACGAGGAAACCGGCGAACCCCTCAGAGGCCCTGATGGCTTTTGCATTCCTTGTAAACCAGGTTCGCAAATTATATAAAAAAATATTAACGAATATCCTTCATCGGTCGAAAAATTTATTATAAATAATGTCGAGGTCATTATTTCAGGTGAGGCTGGCGTTTTCGTCGGTAAAATAAATCCGAAAAAGGCGTTGAACGATTTTAGTGGCTACGCGGATAAAGCAGCGTCTGAGCAGAAAATCATTCGGGATGTCTTCAAGAAGGGAGATCGCGTCTTCAATTCGGGTATCGATTGACTTTTTCTCCAGATATTCCATCAAATTATTTACTAAACTGAGATTTTAATTACCCATTTCATTCGTCAGGTGATATTCTCGTAATGGATGAGTTAGGATATTTTTATTTCAAGGATAGGACCGGCGATACCTTCAGGTGATTATTTTTGACTTTCAAATTATCCACGATATAAAAATGTAGAGGGATCGGATTCTCCTCGTGTTTAAAATAGGAAATCATGGAGTATTTTTATCTCGAACCGTTGATTATTTTGACAACAGGTGGAGAGGAGAAAATGTCGCCACTTCGGAGGTGGAAGCCGTCGTCAGCAATGCGATCGGCTTGAAGGATGCGGCTGTTTATGGAGTTGAGGTGAATTGGAGAGGGTGTTAATATTTTCAGTGCGATCATTTTTTAGAAGATACGTAAATTCGTAATCTGATCTTGATAATCTGCTAAGGTTCCTGGGGTTGAAGGCAAGGCTGGCATGGCAGCGATTTATGATCCGGATCAGAATTTAAATCTGAAGGAACTCGAGGAAGGAGTGAAGAAGGCGCTTCCTCCATATGCAAGGCCACTGTTCCTCAGAGTACTTTCCGAGCTACCCATGACGGGTAAATTAATATAAATTATTAAAATCGACGAAAGCAGTACTTAGTCTAGATTCACGCGGTACATTGGAGATGTAGGGAAACGGGTCATCGTATAAACGCTACCAGACTGATGTGTTATTAACGATTTTAACTTTCATCCGACCTCATTATTTTTCTGTCCTCTTTTGCAGGAACTTATAAGCTGAAAAAGAAAGACCTGCAATTGGATGGTTATGATATAAACAAGGTAATTGTCGCAATGATATCTGGCGATGTCCGGTATATGAATTTCGGCTTAACGATGCCTTTTCAACAGGTTAAGGATCCACTGTACTTCTTGGATAGGACTGGTTCCTATGTGAGGATCTCGGAAGAACTCTACAAAGATATCATGGAAGAAAAAGTTAGATTATAAGACTTCAGAAAAATTGAACTGCCACTTTAGCTGGACGTTAGATATCTAGTACCATTCGGATTCATTAGTAATGCTTGTTTCATCCCGAGGTCATCGCAAAACGTAATTTATCAAAATAATCTTTATAGGAGAAAATCATTACCGTGATCTATCCTGTGAGAGAACAAGGTAACGAGCTTGTTTTTAAACCTCGTTCTTATCAATCTCGGTAAGGTCCGCGTTAACTAGGATCGACCTACATCTTCGTCTGTAATTGTAAATTAATTATTGACAGTTCTCGACGGAACTGTACTGTTACACTGTGGGAGTATAAGGTGGAAGACAACTTTGGTGATTGTCGAAAGAGATGGATGTTTTTGTTTTAGACTTTTTTTTTATATAACTTAAGAAAATTTAAGGAGTATCGGTTGATTTGTACACAGGTTCGGTGCAATGGCCGTACATTGCGATTCATTCCGATTCCAAGATTCTCGAATTTTCGAACCTCCGGAAATTTCTCACCTTCGCGGAGGCGCAAATCCTGAGGATTCGTAGGTAGAAGGAAAACCTTATTTTCATTTCTTGTGTTTCTTCTTCACTTTTTATAATGTCATGGTTGATCTAGGTAGACGTAAGTTTAATTTATAGATAATCTTAGGGTTACTCGGATACTTTGCATAAACTCTGTGAACTATGACTGGGCGCGTGTGGAGATGTAATCTCATTGTCACGTTCGATAATTAAATAAAGAAAGTGCTGGAATAAACCGCGTCTCCACTGACCTAGGAATACGTTAACCTGACTTATGCGAGCGATTAGGAAATTGTCTGGTGTATACCCATTTTACGGCAACAACGTGTACAACGTAAGCGTAAGTGCGATAATGCGACAAAGAGTCGGCGTCAAAATGTCATAAGTGGAGTACTTTGTATTCGCGTTATTTTTCCAAATTTTTCATCGCTAAGAATTATCGTTTGCGTTGATTTTTCGTTCACGCGTTGAACGGAATGTCAGGGATGACGAACACATCCGAAGAACATCCAACACTTCTCGTCGTCGTATCGGGATGAATCAGAGACTGGACAAATGTGTGAAAGTATTATGTATGTACGTGTAAGACCGTATAAGCACTCGCGACGACGTTTCGCCAGTGTTTCCGAACACGAGCGAGTGCGTTTGCGCGAAAGCGGTAGTTTCCGAGGAGCTGGCGAGAAGGCCGCTGAATACACGTCCGCGAGTGTTCCAAACCCAAAGTCCGAAATCGGAATCGACAAGTTTTAAACGTGAATCAAGAGAAAAAATCCACCAATCTCCAAAAACAACCGTGTCGACCTGTAAGCGAGCTGCATCGACGTCAAACGCGTCAGCATTTCCATAATTGCTCCGATTGCTCGAATACGCTTGCTTAACCCTCCTCTATGCAAAATAGAGTTAAGCGTCAGTACGTCTTAATATGTACGGATTTAATATTAAATAACTCGGGGTGACGATAAGAATTGACGAAACGTAGATATTTTTTTTGTTATATGCTCGTAAATGACATACGGGGTGTGTTAGATTTTTTGGATGATTGTTTACTTGCAACCGATAGCGAGTTCTCGGATCATGGAAATTACCTTCGCTTATCGTTATCACCCGCTTGATGTTGTGTCATTGTATTCGGCACAGAATTGCGGCAATTCCTGATAAAGATCTCCATCATTCGGTCATTTTGTTTTCGACCTGGCGTGTTCCCGTTCATTGGAGCGAAAATTATTGCATAATAAGTGGCGAGGAAATGTGTGCATAGTTGTAAGAGCAATCGCCGGTATATCGAGGTTTTTTAATACATCGGTGCTCACGATTTGCAGGAGTCATGGAAGAGAATAAATTTGGATTTGCCATCGATCGTGGCGGCACTTTCACCGACGTGTATGCGAAATGTCCTGGGGGGAAAATACGAGTTATGAAATTGCTGTCCGTTGATCCTGCCAACTACGAGGATGCGCCTCGTGAAGGAATTCGCCGGATTTTGGAGCAGGTGATGGAATACTAATCGCCGGAGGGGTTAAACTGAAAGGGGAAAGGAAACAAACGTTTATTTTGTAGGAAACGGGGAAGTCCATGCGAGATGAGGTGGATACATCGATGATAGGATGGATCCGAATGGGAACAACGGTTGCAACAAATGCGCTCCTGGAACGCAAAGGAGCGAAAATGGCTCTTCTCATCAATGCAGGATTTAAAGACCTTCTCTTTATTGGAAATCAGGCTAGGCCGAATATTTTCGACTTGGTTCGTAGCCCATTATTTGTTACGAAAAATCTTAAGATGATAATGGTATCGTAATTGTAGGAAATCGTTACACCAGAAGTATTATACTCTACGGTTATAGAAGTGAAGTGCAGAGTAATACCAGCTTTGCCAGGGAAGTGTCACTTAGACAAGAAATCATGGCGAAAAGTCACGGGATCCACAGGTGAAGACTTATATGTAATTCAAGAGCTCGACGAGGATTCTTTAAAGAAGGACTTGGAGAATCTATTGGCATCGGGGATAGAGAGCTTGGCTGTCGTTTTGGCTTATAGTTATACGTAAGAAAAATGTTTGTATCTAAAAAAGAGATGGTGCTGCGTCTAGAAAATTGATGTCGGGTAGATTTCTAATCGAGGTACTTTTATCTTGACTCGTTCTTTGTCCAGCTGTGTTATTTTAGTAAGGGGTCAGAAATTAACATATTATCGTCTTTCTAACGTAGGTTTGCAGATCATGAAGTAAAAGTCGGGGAGCTGGCAAAGGAAATGGGATTCTCTCAAGTGTCTTTGTCCCATGAAGTTATGCCTATGACCAGGATCGTTTCCAGAGGATTCACCGCATCGGCTGATGCCTACCTAACACCTCATATAAAAAATTACTTGAAGGTGAAGGAATTAAAAAAATGCCCTATTTAAATTTAAATTCGTAAGAGATGTAGAGACGTTCTCCTTTCAGGGTTTCGCATCTGGCTTCAAAGAGAACCTTAAAGGAGTGAATGTTCTCTTCATGCAGAGTGACGGAGGACTCACGCCAATGAGCTCGTGAGTTTGATAAGGCCCATTGAATGTTAAATGTATTGAATTTACCTTAAAAATTTGGGAGCAGGTTCAATGGGTCCCGAGCTATTTTATCAGGGCCTGCAGGTGGTGTCGTCGGGTATGCCATGACAACTTATGGGAAGGAAACCAATCTGCCGATCATTGGCTTTGACATGGGGGGAACTTCCACCGATGTCAGTCGTTATGGCGGAAGCTACGAGCACGTGTACGAAACCACCACAGCTGGGGTCACTATACAAGCAGCTCAGGTCCGAAGCATACGTAAGATCCATAATTTATTTGACTTCGTTTCATTTTTTATTTCCTTTTCTAGCTGGATGTGAACACAGTAGCTGCCGGAGGAGGGTCGATGTTGTTCTTCAGATCAGGTCTTTTTGAAGTAGGACCCGAAAGTGCTGGAGCTCATCCCGGGCCATCCTGCTACAAAAAAGGAGGTCCTTTAGCGGTCACGGATGCCAACCTCGTTCTTGGCAGACTTTTGCCGGAATATTTTCCCAAAATTTTTGGTCCCGACGAGAACGAACCGCTGGATAAACAGCGCTCCATGGAAGCCTTTACGAAGTTGACCGAAGAAGTATGGGAAACGCCGGTTGCGTGGAACGTGAAGTTTCCGCATTTTTAAAAAATCCATTTTGTACGCAGATCAACAGTTTTTTGGTAAATGAGGAAACGCAACATGGTAGCGAAGGGATGACCGTAGAAGAAGTTGCCATGGGATTTGTCAGGGTCGCAAACGAGGCGATGTGTCGACCGATACGAGCTCTTACCCAAGTAATTCTTATACTTTTGTTGTAACTATTCAAGTCGAGGGGTTATTAGTTGATGCGTTTCTTAGGCCAAAGGGTATGACACTTCGCAACACATTCTCGCGTGTTTCGGGGGAGCTGGTGGACAACACGCGTGCGCCATTGCTAGGTCTCTTGGAATGGGAACGGTTTTTGTCCACAAGTATGCTGGAATTCTGTCAGCATACGGTATGGCATTGGCGGACGTTGTCGAGGAAGTGCAGGAGCCAAGTGCTGAGATTTATTGCGCAGGTATTAATGACATTTTTATGACGAGGAAGGTATTAAAAAATATTTACCGCAACGTTCTCGCAGAGTCATTCGAACGCCTGGATGAACGTTTGGACAGCCTGGCTGAAAAGTCGACGGGAAAATTACGCGATCAAGGATTTTCGGAGTCTCAAATTTGTATGGAGTATTTTCTACATCTCCGGTATCAAGGCACGGACTGTGCTCTGATGTGCACTCCAAAAACTGGAGCAGAAACGAAGGCACCAGGGACGAAGCATGGAGATTTCCTTACGTCTTTCTTGGAGAGGTAAAGATAATTTCTTTTTTTTTTAATGTAAAGACCCATGTAGTACTATTTTTAATACATTTAAATTTTTTAATTTCTTTTCAAGGTATAACATGGAATTCGGATTTGTCATGCCAGACCGAAAAATTTTGGTAAATGATATCAGAGTCCGGGGAATTGGCAGGCAAAACATCACCGAAGATCCGATACTTCCTCCTTCATCGGAAATGCCGAAACACGAAAAAGTTAGTCGTAAAGGATTTTTTGCAACGAGTCTTGAGGATTCAGATTTATGAAAATGAATGCACTCGATACTATGTGCTAATTTCTTTCAGACTACCTCGGTATACTTCGAAAATGGTTATCAAGAGACTAAGGTGTACACCTTGGAGTCCTTATCACCTGGTCATAAGATATCCGGACCAGTTATAATTATGGATAGCTTAAGTACTCTTTTGGTTGAACCAGATTGCACTGCCGTGATTACGCCACGAGGTGATGTCAAAATCACAATTGGTAAAGGTCTACGACCGAAAGTAACTACCGAGTTGGATGCCATTCAACTAAGCATTTTTTCTCATCGATTTATGAGCATTGCCGAACAGATGGGGAGGTAATTGCACGGGTTGTTATTTATTCCAGAGACATTTATTCCGGTCATTGTATCAGGTTAATACGGTCAATTTGTTTTTAAGGATTTTACAAAGGACATCGATATCGACAAATATAAAGGAACGTTTGGACTTCTCGTGTGCAGTTTTCGGCCCCGATGGAGGTCTGGTATCTAATGCACCGCACATACCGGTGCATCTAGGTGCAATGCAGGAAACCGTTCAGTATCAAATGAGAGCTTTCAAGGGTGATTTCACCCCGGGGGATGTCATACTCGCGAATCATCCAATGGCCGGTGGATCACATCTTCCGGATCTCACTGTGATCACTCCAGTGTTCTATAGGTAGATTTATGTGTATATTAAAAAATATGTGTTAACATAGGTCGGCTGAATTTTTTTATACGAATTGAAGGGATGTCCCGAAACCGGTGTTCTTCGTGGCAAGTAGAGGACATCATGCCGATATCGGTGGAATTACCCCAGGCTCCATGCCACCTCACTCTACCACGTTATCACAGGTACATTAAAAATAACTGGCTTTCGACATTTGTTCGAAACTTCATCAGATTATCTCTGAACTTCTGAAGGATACCATTTATATTTAGGAAGGTGCTACATTCAAGAGCTTCCTGTTGGTTCACAAAGGAGTGTTCCGAGAGAAGGAACTTACTGAGGCGTTGATGGCGCCTGGAAAAATTCCCGGCAGTTCTGGAACGAGGAATCTTTCGGACAATCTCAGCGATTTAAAGGCTCAAATTGCTGCCAATAATAAGGTCAAAAGGCGATTAACTTCTCATATAAAGTATATTATGTTTCGGTACTCTAGTGTTGTAATACGATGAGGACGATGTGCAGGGTTCGCAGTTGGTGAACGAGCTCATCGATGCCTATGGCTTGGACGTCGTCCAAGCATACATGGGACACATACAACACAATGCTGAAGTTGCAGTTCGCGACATGCTAAAACTTGTCGGAAACAAGGTTTTACAGGAAACTGGAAGTGCGACCGTCACGGCGCAGGATTATCTCGATGACGGAAGCGTCATTAAATTAAGACTGGACTTTGACGTTGAAAAGGGCGAAGCGACCTGCGATTTTAGGTACACTTTTATTTTCGACTCCGCTACTTATGATCTTGCTACAAAAATGATTAATGATTTTTAATTATTTCAATCATGTACAGTGGTACCGGGTACGAAGTGTGGGGTAACTGTAACGCCCCGAAAGCAATTACACTTTCCGCGTTAATTTATTGCCTGAGGTGCATTGTTGGTCGCGATGTTCCGCTGAATCAGGTATATATAAACGATTGCTTACTGAATAATAATTTTATGAAATTTATTTAAGTGAGAAAATGGTAATTTAGGGGTGCCTTAAACCGGTCAAAGTGATCATACCAAGGGGATCCTTGTTGGATCCATCAGAGGAAGCTGCTGTAGTCGGAGGGAACGTCCTCACATCTCAGCGCATCGTTGACGTTATTTTAACTGCATTCGGTGCATGCGCTGCATCCCAAGGATGCATGAACAACATCACTTTGGGGACAGAAGAATGGGGATATTACGAAACCGTTGCCGGTGGAAGTGGCGCCGTAAGTTTTGGCAGTTCCAAAAGTTTTGGAATTCAATTATGATTATGAATAAAAAAGGGCTTATTCTTCTATAAGTGATGCGAAAAGTTTTTCCTGGGGTGGAGATTGTATCAATTTTTAGAGCGGAGGTATTCACATGTACCCGACCCTTGTTTTAATTTATTAATTGAAGGGACCAACGTGGAACGGCCGAGGTGGAATACACACGCACATGACCAACACGAGAATTACTGATCCAGAAATTTTGGAACTTCGGTATCCTGTGATCTTGAACAGATTTTCTCTGCGCTTTGGAAGTGGCGGCGACGGGGCACACCACGGGGGCGAGGGGGTTGTTCGCGAGATGACTTTCAGGTAAATTATTAAATCCATTCCCGCGTATCTTAAATTAATTTTACACCTACGTTAACAGGGCACCCTTAACGTTGTCCGTCCTAACCGAGAGGAGGGTCCACAGTCCCCCGGGCTTGAATGGCGGGTCTCCAGGTGCTCGAGGAAGGAACACCTTGAAGAGAGCAAGTGGCAGACATATCAATCTCGGCCCGAAAACGGCCGTTCCAATTTTGACAGGAGTAAGTAGATCGTCCTCGACTTTTTCAAAATTTAATTCACTATCGCACCGTGAAAAAAACAAATAATTACAGGATTACTTTAGAGGCCTTATTTAGAAGGATTTATATATGCCGACATCGGTCACAGAGCGTTCCAGCGTATGATGGATGTTTTAGTGTTTTAGCTCCCTTTCTCCAGATTCGCGACAGGATGCAGTCGGTAAAAAGTTGGAGAGAGATGGAAAAGGGAAGCGGGCATGCAGTAATATTATTAGGACATCCGTGGGGGAGCTCCGACGTCTCGCAAGGACATTCCGGCCCTGAATAATGATGATCGAGGGGAACTCCGCTCGAAGGATCGGCCTAGGTGGAAGCGGAGCGAAAGATTCGCCGGTTTTATGCGGCCTCGTAAAGATTTTATCCTCGTGGATGAGGCTGCCTTTCTTCGTCCACGCAGCTAGTCCGTGGTCGTACGGACGACCCTCTTTCGTCCCCGGTTTTACCTACACGTACAAGTATTGGTACACTTCCTGGTGTACGTACACCCGACCTGCTCACCAACCTCGGTGACGAGGCGTCGCGCGCATAAAGAGGCGACGCCTCGCCAAAGTCGTATGTTCCATTGACTAAGCTGGGAATAATTCCGTCTCGTGGTCCTTTGTTTCACTGTCTGCTTAGGGCAAAAAAGGAAGCCCCTTGCGGTTCCATCGGAAACGTACAGCCAAACTTCTGAGCCCACCACTATCACGAAAATTTCGGGAATTAATTGAGAATGCTTGGATTTCTTTTTTCGTTTCAGGACACGTTCGTTTTGGAGACTCCGGGTGGTGGCGGATATGGGGTCCCGGGAACGGCTATGGTGTTTTCGAAAAAACCAGCCGTTGGATTGGTCGGCCGTGGAAGCGTTTTCGAGTACAAAATGGCTCAGGAGTCCGTGTAAATTAATTGACTCGGAATTTCAAGAACGGCCGAAATACCGCACTAACTTCGTTAACCCGCACGATAATACTTCATTAGAGTTAATGGACGGTATATGGAAATTGGAACAATTTTCCGCTTAATTTGGTTACCGACTATTAGTGTTGTCAGTGTTGCATTATTCAATATCCCCCAATGGAAGCCCAAGGATTTTTGCATTTTGAACGCACCTCCCCGCAACGTTTTAAAAACGTTGAGGGAAATATTTCTCTACCCACATCCAGGGCCTGTGGTCATTATTTTGGGGAATCATTTTCGCGTCGGTGGGGGTTTATGATATAATAAATATTGCTACGATTAGTGAGGAGTTTACGGATCGCGTTCGGTCGAACGCGTCGATTTCCGTCCGATCTGTCAATTAGTTCCATAATATTTGCGGAACGGATACCGAATACGTCGGCCCATTTCGCGATGGTCATTAAGTCTCGATAATCGATCGTCGCGAGATCACACCTAAATGAGATTTAATTCGGCCAATTCGATCTAGGTCAGCGAGCTTCATTAGCTTCAGATGGAATATGGTCGCGCTTTCATTTCCGGGCCGGATAATTAACGTTGTCGATCGAATAATCGCAGGTCCGACCTTAGCGCCGACTGCCGCCTCGTTATTCGGAAATCGCGAAATTAGATCGACAATCGACGTCGACGGCACGATCGAACGGAAATTAACGCTTGACCGGGCTTGCGTTCCCGCGCGCTCAGTTAGCGCCGAGAAAAACTATCAAAAACGTGGGCTTTATTTGCCAGGAAGTTCGCCCTCTTTCCCCGCGATTGCGAGAAACCGGGGAAGAAGCGTTAACACCTCTCGGGGTAACTTCGTCGGCAAAATTGCGCTCTATTTCGCTCCCGCTCCGGAAAGTCGCGACTCGGCAAACTTTAATGAGGTACATTATCGCGAGAGTATTCGCTCCTCGCTCCTTCGATCCATATTTAATGCTTATTTTAATCGGAGATGTTGCGGAGGAAGCGGCGGAGTCGAGGGAAAAATTGCTCTCGGTTTAAGCACCCCGGTAGATGACTTCGACTCCTGGACGTCGAGGTATACTTTTTGCCCCGGGGACAATTAGTCCTCGTTACATTAACGATTTTGCTTGTAGAGCAAACACGCTTCGACACTGCCCGACGAAGCTCTCACCACTTGGGACAAAAGCTCCTGGATCACCGAATAAACCGCCCCCTTCCCGCACAATTTAGCAGCCCTTTGGTCGGCGCGAGTGCTCCCCATTTGCGGAGATTCCGCGACGAGATTCTATCAGGCTCCTTCAAGGATCGTTGACAATTAGCTCGGTGAACGACGGACCGTAGCGATCGAAGGGAAACGTGACCCGTAAGACAGGATCGGCGCCTTTCTGGTAGGTCCGTGAAAGCTCTTTGAAGGGGCCGAAAGCTTCCGAGACAAGGCGGCTCTGATTGGTACGAAGAAAATTGGATCTCCTCCGCGAGTCTCTTTGCCAGCTCCAGTGAGAGGCTCGAACCTTAAGGCGATTAGCTCTCATTTTTCGGAGATTTCGAGAAAATGACCGCGTCTGCGGCCGAAAGCCGGGCGACCGACCCGAAAAGCTTTCGTGCATCCTCCGAAGAATGGTCTTAATCTCCGCCGGCGGATCCCGCTAGTTTACGACCGTTTTACCAAGTGCTTTACCGCTCACTGCTCTTTCATCGAACTTTAGCGCTGAATTACGCTCGACCGATCACTCGATGTCTGCTCTCATCCCTCGAATCGACCTCGAAAAGAATTTATTCTTCCACCTACTTTCCCGTGTCTGCCGCCATTTTGCATCGACGGTAAATTTTAGAAAATCTGGAGACGTTGAACGTAATTCCAGCTCGTCGCATTAAGGATCTCTATTTTTTATGTTATAACGCGACAATGTCTGCAATTTCCTACGCCATGGAAGTTAGTCCAGAGGTAGTGAAAGCTCCGTATGGACATTAGCACCCGAGATGGGAATTCTTTCGCGAAAACAATGTGCTCTTGTCGATACAAAAGAAAATGGGGGCCATCCCGGCCACTCTCTGCCTTTTATTCCTGGTTAGAGAAAGTCCAGGTTTACGTCTCTCCTTCTTTACAACGTAAACTTCACGAGTCGCTCGTTCTCTTACTTTACGGCTCATTGACCGTGTCCGTTTCTGACGTCCAGCTCGGTGCTGGACCTCATTCCAAACAGTGCTTCGGGTACCTCTCGTTTTATGGAACCCGCGGGATTTATACCGTAATATCCAGCTTGGTATATTATTAACGCCGGGAGAATGAAAGTGCGGCAAATAGTTGCATTTAGTTTGTTGAAAGAGAGGGCGAGAAGGTAAGGACAGCAGGCATGGCTCTTCAGGAATTTCATCGGCAAGAAATAATGACTTTTTCGCGACGGGCTCTATCGACGGATATTTCGATACAAATGGCTCGCGAGAATTTATCGCGATTAATTTCAGCCTTTACGAGTATCAAGGACTCCTTCGTTCAAACATTGGCTAGGTGAAATCCAATAAGCATTTAACCAGTACACCCTGACCCCTGTAGAGTCGGAAGCACCGACGGGTCAAAGCTCGAGAACGACCTCTCCATAAAACGGGACCTCCGTAACCAGTCCTTCCAGTTGGATGTTTTACGAGGACGACAGGGTGAAATCGAGATATCGAACCGAAGGTCTCTCGCGGCAAAAAGTCCGGATGTTCGAGTCGACCGACGCCCTTTGCGAGATCTAGCCTTGAAGGACCGACCGAAGACTAGAAACTGGATACTGGAAGATCGGTCATAACGGGTAACCAAGTTCTCCTGGAACTCTGCTTCCCAGGATCTTCCGGAGAGTTTGGAAAACTTGGACCAGGGACTTTGAACGACCCAGGAGCCCTGAACGATCCCAGGATACCGTAAAAAGCTGTTCTCAAAGGGATAGGCAGGACTCTAGAGAAGACTGCATCATCCCTTTCTAAAAATACGTAAAAAGCGACACGTGTTCAGAAAACGCATTCCAGCAAGAAGGTACGTCCTCCAGTTGTGTGACATCTTGCAGGAAAAAATCGCCTCGTCAGGATCGACCTCGGGTCACGAGGACGTCCGACGAATGCGAAGGAAATTTTGCCGACAAAACGGCGAAGGGGAGGCGCGTCCATTTTCTGTCCCTGGCGCGTCCTGCATCCGGAAATTGTGTTTGGTATATTTTGGCCTGGACGGTTTACCGTCAGACCGAGACGAGGACCGAGAAGATGCCCTCGGAGTACCGCACGGGGAAGTCGTCCTTCCCATTTTCCTCATCTTTGAGAAACGTTGGGATTCTCTCTCGACGCGCGCCAAAGGGCTGAGAGCGCTGCAAATCGCAGCCGGGGTCGTCCAAGCGTTTTATGCACCGAGACGATCCGTGAGGTTCCGACTCGACGCGGAAGAAAGTCGCGGGTCCTTTGCCTTGGCGGAATGTTTGCGGAACGTTAGGCTTCGCCCGGCGTCGCGGCGCAGGAAATGTGGGCCGTGTTTGCGGGGAGGCTGGGCGCCGCTGCATTGTCTCTCGTAATGGCATGCGAGAGGCTTTGAGACCGCTTCAGGATTTGGGTCGGCCCTGAAGAGGGCGACTTCCGACTTAAAGGTAAGCGATCGACTTCTTCTCGCGACGGCCTCTTTCGAGCATTTCCTATCTGTCGAGCCTGCGGCGGTCGGTTGCGGTTTACGCGTCGCGGAATGGCCGGCAATCGGGATTATCTTCGAAGGTGCACTTTGGACGCGGGGGATATTCCATGGATACTCTGTAGGTACGCTCTAGGTACCCTATAGGTACTCTTTGGGTCCCAGCCTAGGCGCTCGGTACATGTCCTTCCCATACGCCGCTGTAAAGTATGTATATCCAGCTAGCGCCTGATACCCCGAAACAATGGGACATTCGCGATACGTGCGTGTCGCCGATATTGGACACAGGGTAGCAAGGTCCCAAACAGCCGAAGATCAAAGTTTATCGATCTCGCCCTCTCGCTCGCGTCAAAGCCATAACCATGAGAGTCCTCGATGCCTCGAAATTAATTATTCCGAGGGTATTCCGGAATTATTCGACGCCCGAGCAAGATCGCAAGAAGTCCGAGGTCCTGTCTTTCGGGAAGAAGCTCCGGAAACTCTGCTTCAGCTGGTCGGGGTTCAACCAGTACGGACTGTTCGCCCACGATATCATCAACACGGACATCTCGTACGTCCAGGAAGCGGTGGATCGGCTGCCCCCTGAGATGGTAGATGCCAGAAATTTCAGGTACCTCCTAATCAATCCGTCAATTCAGGTGACGATCATCTTATTCGCCCTCTATCCGAATTTCCTCCGCAGACTCATGCGAGCTCATCACCTGAGCATGCTGAGGAAGGTCCTACCGCAGGAAAAGTGGATCACTTTCGAGGAGGACCTGGCGTACCGGTATCTGGATCCCTACATCAAGGACGTCATCCAAGAACGCCGGGAGTACCATGAGTTTGGCGATTTGAACTTTTCCGAGAAACTAAAATATTAAATCCCCTCAAGTTATCGAGATGTACGAGTTTTCGAGCTGGTTGTTGCGTTGGGGCCAATTCGCGGATCCATGGGCCTAGGCGAAGAAGCCAACATGGCGAAGCCGCTCGGGCGCGAACGGTGGTCGAGCCGGAAGGACCACTCGGGCGACTCCGTCGCCGGAGTCCCGGCGGTTTCGAAACGCTAAAGCAACGGGATAAGCACCCTCGGGCTCGTTCTCGAGAGCTCTTTCCTCGCCCCGCGAGCCGAAAGATCTCGATCCGCATGTGTGCTCACTCGAGTACTCGCCACTCGGCCGTGGGCGCCTCTAGTGCAAGGAATATACCCCGCAAGTGTACTCAATTTCGCGTTGCACGCGGCCTTCGCTAACGACCTGCGAGCCTTCCTCCACCCGTCGGGAGACTCCTCGATGAGGTCCAATCCCGGCTCTTCCGCAAAATGTTGGATCGCTCTCGCGTAACGCAAGCTCGAGTGGCGTCCCCGG